GGCCTTTACAACTCCGTCCAAACAGAGGGCTGTGAGAACGTCGAGGAGCAACAGCAGCTCTGCTGGAGCCCGTCTCTACACATGGGAAAGGACTTCTGCCCCTCACAACTGGGATCCAGTAACCATAGGCTGTAGAGAACAGTGTGTCCTATCCAAAGGGGGGGGATATCTGACAGAAAAAGGGCAGAAACGTTATGAATTGGTAGCCCACCGAACGTTCAGCCCCACATGAACAGTCCACTGTTGATCAGTGAGAATGCGGATAATGAAGTGTGTGAATACACAGCTGGGGTGGTCCGTGACCTTTGGATCTGTTGCCATGACATGCAGAGTTGCTAATAACGCTCACACTAACATTCAGACAAACACCTTGACCTCCACAGAAAGCACCGCCACAGATCCAGGCCTCTCTCTCCCCCGATATGAGCCAGCAGCAGGTCCTTTGTGGCCCGGCAGAGGTTTGGCCTGGAAAACATGTAGGAAAAGCTAATGAGATTTGTTGGTGATCATTAACATCGAGAAAATTCTGACAATCCCCTGCTTATCAGTCAGAAAAAATATAAAAATTGAAGGAGAAATTGAACAGAGTTGCTTTTTGGACCTTTCAAAAAAGTTTAACTTCAAAGGTTGATAATGAAAGAGCCCGCTCCTCCACATGTGTAGTGACATTAGATCCAGAGGATTTTAGCCTGACTAGCTCCAGAAAGTTCCCTCAGTCTCCCCTCCCTGACCTCTTTTCATCCCTCCATCCCTCCGCCTTTCTTCTTTTTAATACAAATCAGCCACTCAATGCCATGCACATGTTTTAGCGCTATTTGAACTCTGGCAGAGAACTTCAAACAGTTTTTCAAAGTGAGCTGAGTTTTTTCCTCTCGTGCTTTCTATCTCTGTCTCTTTTTTTTTTTAAGAACACATCCATGGTTCCAAACACACCTGATCAGAAGGTCGAGAGACGGGGATCATGATATGGAAATGAGGCTTTGTAATCAGCGCTGACATTCGCTATAAAGCCGGGCAGAAGGAGAGGCAACATGAAAAGGTGGCAACTCACCCACCTCTATCCCTTTTAGGATAACCCCCCCTCTCAAACTCATTGGCCAACCAAAGCACCCCCACCGTTTTTTTTTTTTCCATTTAGATCAAAAGGTCACACACAACAAAGAAAGGCCTTGTGAGGGAAAAGAAAGCACTTTGCACACACTAATATATACTTTTACACAGTCAAGACTATTGATTAATCAACTGGTTCAAAAGTGCTCTGTGGAGAAAAATATTCACTTGAAAGATATCTGAATTTTTAATTTTTACCATGTTCTAATGAGGCTGCCATCTTCTCTGCTGCTTAGGCAGAATGCAGTCACTAAGCTGAAAGGAAGCACAACTATATATATATATATATATATAGTTGTGCTTCCTTTCCACACATATGTGTATATATGGGGCTCAGTTCAAAGGAGTCCAAGCAAGGTGGTGTTCTCTATTACTTTTCCACCTATTAGTCTGGCCCACCATCCGCAGCGATCTGGTGAGGAATGGGTTTTATGAACTTCATAAAGGACTGGTTATTACAGAGTCAGTGTGAATGTGTGGCCTTTGAATTTAACAGCAGGGTGCCTAAGAGCTTTGATGTGTAACATACTGTTAAATAATTTTTGAGAGGTGGAGGATCTACTGAAACCGTACAAAAGGCCAGGTCCTTCTTATATAAGCGATAATTAGCTCTTTTTGTTCACACAACAACATCGACAAGGCTGAAATGGCAGTTATGTCTCATTTTTTGCAATTAGAAAATTGAAAAAGTGTTGGATTTAGCTTTAAATTCTGTGTGGTACAAAATAGTAATTATTTCTAATTGTTAAAAATAGATTAAAGTACTCAAAGGTCAATTTTAGTATAAATTTATGTTTCATGATCACATTACTAATTTCTATATATGTTTAGATGTGTAAGTGCTGGCACGGGGGAGTTATTTTACCAATTCAACAACGGGTAAATTTAATATAATGGCCCTAAATCATCTGGTAGAAATCTGCAGTTTACTAATTGTAGGTATCGTATGAAAATCTGAAAATGTATAAGAATGCTGTAAATTTCAAAATAATGTGCAGTATTCCGTTGATTTACTCATGGGTTAACTAGCTAGTTAATTAAATGTAGCTTCATGAATACAAAAATATTCTCATGTTCTCAATTTGTAAAATAATTTGTTGCTGCAGCTGCTGGATAAATGTGACCACATGAAAGTACAGCCCTCCACCATATTCCTCTGAGATTTGGGGAACAGGAAAATAGAAATAAGAGAAACCTATAACTGCTCTCCTACTTCAGCAAATGGAAGAATAAATGGACAAAAATGTCCTATGTATCATTTATTGCCCAGAGAACTGATTAAATGGGGTTTATGTGGAGAGACTTTGATAAGAATTTACCAAAACAGATGATATTTTTATAGTGCTTGGCAACTACATCATAACAGATGGTGGAAAATGTGGAAAATCTGATCCCAGAGCACCTGAGGTGTTGTAGAGTTGCAAAATGAAAGCAACTGACAGTACCACTATGCGCATGCTTATTGTTTTTGTTGCTTTTTAAAAGCTTTTTAACCAGTTTCCATGTCTAATTAAATCTGTCAAGCTGTCAGGGATGAAAACATCTTTTCTATATTCATTGTATAAGTATGAATGCCAACAAAATTCACAGAACAAAAGTCTTCTCTTTACCCCTCGTAAGCATTCAAAACCTTAAATAATCATTTCTGCTATTATAGAAATGTATTCCCTCAGGGATTTTGTTGTTTCATACTCAATTGCATCCAAACAGATTTAGTAGTCTACAAAATAATTAACAAGCACAAAATAATTAGAATATCCAAACCTTATTTTTTCATCACTAATGACTCTGCAATCATATTTAAACTCACCAAATGCTGCTGTAAAAGTCACTTATATCTAATTTCTATGGAAACATTTAATATTAAAAAGCTAATTGATTAGCGGCTGGACTCTGCTCACAAAGGGAGTCCAGATCATGAAAAGCAAAGGGACGAAAAAGATTACATCACTCGTTCCTGGACTCATCAATTGAGAGTTTGTAGATTTATTAATCGGTATCACTTATTTCAGTATGGATTGCATGTGTTAGAGACATGATGCAAAGACTTTTAACACATTTAACATAAATTACAGTCATTTCCTTCTAAATCACTTTGGATCGCCACAGAGTCCAATTCAAAGAGGCTTCACACATCATTTACTTCATTTCTCACCGAGCATAAGTCAGATAAAATGTTAAGAAGATCTCTCTGCGATAGTCCAGATGTCCAAAAGTGGCAGTGGGGTTAAATCTGAGGCTGGGATGAGACCCATTTGTCTTCATACACCACAGTTATCTTGTTTAGATACTGATGTGTTTGCATGTTAGTGCTATCATTTGTACCTGGGTCATTTAATGGTTTTTAAACATTTTTGTAAATAAGTCCAAACTCGGTTGTTACTGTTACAGAGGCCTACTCATTCATCATACAAACTGAAATGCAAAATAAAGGAGCATCTTACATATTTACAATAAAACTAGGATGAAAATTTCTAAATCAACTCATTTTATTATTATTTTATCAAACGTTTTAGCAGATAAAGACTCTAGAGATTAAACACCGCAAGACATGCAGCAGCTTAGTGCAGTAATATTTAGAAAAATATAAGCACAAAAAGAAATCCGCACATATTTAGCTGTAATTGTCATTAGACCCCGTCATCACAGTTATATTTGAATATGTATCTAAGTACAAAGATACTTTAAAAGTAATACAAAGATAATTTAAGTAAACCCGCATTTAGTTCGCATAAACGACAAATGTTACACTGATGACCTCCAACGACAAGTGACAAAGACTTTCAAAATACAAATGTCCTGGAGTAAAATCTTTTGGTTATAGTTGTAATTCACAACCCAATTTAAGGTCCTTTATTAATCAGGCCCTTTTAAACATTTGAATTTAGAAAAGTTGGTATTAGCTGGATAGCTGTAGGTTTATGGACATTCAGGTGTTTAATACCTTTACTGAAACAGATATAACAATATTGTTTTTTTAATAATAAAATACTTTTTTTAAAAAAGAAATCTGAATAGATCAATAAAATCACTAAAAGTTTGCCTTTTATCTGAGTTTCTGAATCACCTCACATTGTACAGTAGGTTCTCTTTGGACGGACGCGGGGCCATTCTGAAGTGTGTCCACTAGGTGGAGCCCTTCTCCTCTCAGATGCAGGTCTCCGGTGTGGACGCTGTTCCAGCGAACGCGCCTCCGTGAGCTTTAGTCTGCTGACAGGATATCAACAAATCCTTATTTGCAAAGAGCTGTCAGCTGAACACGGGAGGCACGGGGCAAACTCCCGTGGGCTCCCGGCAGCGACGGGACTTGCGTGGTCTGCCCTTCTTGACGCATTCACGCGGGCCCGCTAGGTGGCGACCTGTCCAAGCAAATCTGCTCAGATTAAACACCAGTTTGGACAGAGCTCCCTTCAGACACCACCGTCGCGCACCTGATCTGTGTCAGAGAGTGGGTATATATATCTATTTAAAAAAAAAAAAATGTTTTTACAAACTAGTTTTTAAAAAGCAAGATATGTCAACTAAAAAAAAAGAAGAAAAAAGGCTTAGAATGTTTTTTATAATGTCATGCTTCTCCATTCTCGCCTCAGTCTCCCAGCTGGAGCGCTCGGTGTTGTTTGTGGAGGGAAATCCGCCTTTTATTGGCTCTCCGCAAAGCCGTGACGCAACTCACACTCTCCTGCTGCAACACAATCAAATATGAATCAGCAGTGTGTCCGCGATCCGAGCCTTCTGTGGGGCTATCATTCATAGATGCATGGTGAAGAGGGGGTGTGGCGCAGAGGAGAACCCCCCACCACCCTCCAACTCACCCCCCCCAGCTCTCCAAAACAATACGCGTTGGGAGCTCGCGCGTTGGTGGCGGATAGCTGTGAACCGGAGCCAGGTTTGAGCCCTTGTCGCGCTGCCGGTGTGTGTGTGTGTGTGTGCGTGTGTGTGTGTGGCCGGACTCCGGCGGGGTGCTGAGGCCAGCCAGCCCGCAGACAGGGATCGCAGCCCGGGAGCCTGGATGCTGAGTCCGGCCGCCGGCGGCCTGCGGAGGAATACGCGCTGACCGGGGTGAGACTGGACCTGCGTTTGTTTTCCCTTTTATCTGTCCCTGACTGGATCCGTGGACACCTTACTGTCACACGCAAAGAGCTAAAGCAAGGAGGAAAGGGTGGTGGTGGGGGGGAGAGAGACAGGCGAGCTGTGCTCAGACATAGATGGTTTTTAGATTGATGGAGAATCTTCCTAAATCAGCTTCCTTTAACAGCAAAGCGCACTGAGGCTCAGCGTAATAAAGCACGTCTGGGACTGCTTTACACCCCCCCCCCCCCCCCCCCTTGTGCCTGCCGGCTGTGTGGTGTGGGGTTATAGTTGGATTCATGGCTGCCGGTGGCTTTATTCGTTGAATCGGCAGGTGACAGATATTTCCACGCAGCTCCTCATTATCCAGGGAGCCCGCTGTGAGGTGGAGAGGTGTGCACGGGCTGTCCGCCTCCTCTGAGCTTCCCGCTCTGGAGCAGGCCCCACGCTGCCCACATCTCTGGGGTTTACTTTAGGCCAGTGTGGCTGCTTCTCAGACCATCTGGAATGGGTGTCCCTACGTGAACCGTCTCCCTCGGGAGACGTAGCATGACTCCCAGAAGAGTAATTAGGGTGGAAGTATCACACTTCTGCTCCTACACAACTTGCCGTGGCTGATGTAAACTTATTTTTCTCCACCCCCTCAAAGACGAACGATGATTGAAATGATTTCCAATAACTCAGACGGACGGATGACGGTGTCAGTGATGGCTGTCATTTTCCTTCTCTGTCTGCCAAATTTCCCACGTTGCCTCCCTCCCGCTGTCCTCACAGGCTGGCTGGCATCATGACCCATGGCCGCACTTTGTCTGTCAGCGCGGGCCCCGATGCAAGAGGACGTTGAATGCCTCTGAAATCTCAAGGTAAGACACCACCTCCCTCATCCCGCTACCCCTTTTGACCCTCTAAACGTGTGTGTTTGTGTGTGTACGTGTGGGAAGTGTGGGAGCTGGATTTGATCCATGACCTTGAGCAGCTGCTCCACAGCTCATTATTTGAGTCTCCTTCGGCTCAACTCCCTCAACGTAGTCCTGAAAACCTCAACCGCATCAGACATCCGGCACTGGACCCCGCCTGAGCCAAAGATGTGTGCACACATGCTGCAGCCACGCTTGTTTTTAGCTTAAATATCCGAGCTGCTCTCGGATGAAGAGGGTTTGCCAGCTAGTCAGCAGGGCCGTTGTATTTGTCCTGAGTTTAATTAGGCAAATTGCTCGGAGGGTAGAAGCAAACAGTGGCAGCTGAACCATCTGAATAAGCTATTGTTGTGGGTGGAGAGGGGGGGGGGATGGCGGACTCCGGCCCCCTGTAACCCTGGAGATTGTCAGAAATGTGTACAATAACAACACACGAAGCTAAAGAGATGGGTGTGATTGGATGAGCCTGTGGCCATTCTGTGCCTGCCACTTTAAGGTGCAGGGCGCTGGGAGCTGTCAGGGCGAACAGGCATGTGTGCTGCTAAAGCTCAGATGAATTCAGCTTGAAGGTGTCTCTTAGTCAGCGGTTGACCTTTCTGTTCCCTGCTTGTGGTTTGGGCCGTTGGGTCATTGTATGTGTGCTAATGCTAATGCATATTTTTGTGGAAAAGCCATGCCCACAGACTATTATGCACTCCGGTTGTGAATAGAGAGCCTTTGTGGCCTGCAATCAGTTGGGGTCGGTCTCTCTTGTCGGTTTGGACTTCATGTAAAGCTATAATAAAGCCATTTACATACAGAACATGATGTTCCTGTTTTGCTGCTTCAGAGAACATTTCGTGAAGGGAAATTGCCCTCGGCTTCTTCTTTTGTAACCATAATTATGTAGTGTATAATTTCCTAATAGTAAATATTCTTTGATCTCTTAATTGAATTTCCTCATGTATTTTTTTAAACAGACAGTCAGGGCTTATGATAGGCAGTACCATCCTGCCTCAAAGATTAATTTGAGTTATGGTTCATTGGGGCCTGGGACTTACTTTTCCCCTATTTGGGTGCTTAATATTGACAGGCACAGTAATCTTCGCAGTGGGACACATTGTGCAGAGATGCAATGAGAAGTCAGAGCTAAATGTCACACAGTGGGATGAAATGGGACAATTAAATGCTGCATATCAAACGGGTTTGCATTTTCAACCGTCGACTGACAGACTGTATTGTGTGTTTCGCCTATCCAGTGTTTACACTGACGTCTTTGTCCGCGTGTTATTGTGTTATTTTCTGAGGTGCATGTAGTATTTGGGCTTTCCAAAACGAGACATTGTAAACATAATCAGATATTAACATATAACAAAGGACTGCAGGCCTGTTTTTTATTTTATTTCCATATGTCAGGATTTAATGGTTTGCCTGTTTTCAGTTATTCAAATGTAGCATTTAATTTGAACTGCCGACTTTCATTTAAGGTCAGTTCCAAAGAAAAAGAATGCCTGGGGATATTGTGTAGGGAAGGAAGTAAAGGGACATACAGAAGGGGATGGACTTACTCAAATTAACTGACATCAGTTTGGACTTATTCACATGTGTATTTCTCATATACATGCTGATTCTTTTAGTTTTTACTTTTGCACTAAAGCAGCTATTGTAACGGTTACTATGTGGTCACAGAAACAAGAAACCACAAGTGCTGCCACTGTGGTTATAAATGTGTGTGTGTATACACACTCACTGGGTAGTTCTCCACCGAAATATGAATTGAATAAAAGCATATAAACACAGACAAATATACTCCATAGCTGAGCTCCACAATCCTATGCTGCTGGGCAGAAGATGTACTGTATCTGTTTCTATTTCAACTGCAGACAAATACAGTGAGCTCAGGGTGTTGCTTCACCTTTATTCTGGCCATGGCAGCAAACAGGAAGTTACAGTGTTAGACAGAAAAAAAGGAAGTGTGTGTTGATTAGATTGAAAACAAGGATTTGACTTGCACGCAGAATACACTCTTAAATGCAGGTTGAGTGCATGTGTACACAACAAGGTTTACTTTAAGAGTAGGATGATAGATCCTCATCCACATCTTTAAGAAGCAACCATTTTCAGTGTTGTTGTATGTTAACAAGCATACCTGAGCCTAACAATGTGTATGTCTCAGTATAATTGGGAACCACAATATATATTTATCCCATAAAATACATCTGTGTAACAGATCTTGAGTTATTATACATAATTAATACTTTGTTTATTTTATTTTAGATGTTTTTTATTCTATTTTCATTTGATACGTACTGCTCTAAGAGAGATTTCCCAGCCTGGGTTCAGGATTTCTCTTATCATGGTCAAAAATGGTATGCACAAAGTCAACTACCCTGAGCATTGTTTAGTATTTCTCTGCATTGGATCTGCATAGGACCATAGGAATATTTGGAATTTAATCCCATGCATTTTGAAAGCTTGTTCTGGGCCAGGTGCTCCACTATGAGTCCTGTGTGTCCTACTCTTGTCATCGTTGACTGTTGGCTTCAGACAGGCCAGTTCCTGACCTGCCTCTACTTGTTACTGAGGCAGGCTGGTGTTGGTAATCAAGCAGAACGTGGTTTGGCATTGTCTTGCTGAGGTAAACAAGGCCTTCACTGAAACTGCTGACATCTTGACAGCAGCATTATTTGCTCTCTTAGCTCAAATTATACAGTTCTACTATAACGTTACCTTCACAGTACAAGTTATTCAGGCTTTGTGCACTAATATGCACCAATGTGCCATCATGGATGCTGACTTTTGAACCATAAATGTACAAATGAATAATAAAACATTTAAATTGATTCATAATTTACTGGTACAAATGTAACTTTTTTATGTTATTTTATGGCACAATGTTCTTTTAAACATGTTATTGACATCAAATTCCTACTAAAGGTACAAAATGCTTTACATTTATGTCTTATTCCACCACTGTGTCAGAAATGCTGGGCTCCTTGTGCACATAGTAGTGTTCTCAATGACCTCAGCCTTGGTTATGGTTGTACCAAAGAGTGAAACAAGGCCTGTGTCTTCTCCAGATAAATATCCACCACCAGAAATTCTAAGATTTTTAAGATGTGAATAACCTCTGTCAGAAGTTTACCATCATTTCACATATGATGATCAGTCACTCCTCTGGAGCCTTTTTAGTGAGCTTACAAAGGCCACGCGTGTCCCTGTCAGAAAGTGGGAGAAAAAAGAAAAGGATGGATAATTTTAAGATGTTTCCAATGGCCTAGAATCTTCTAATGATGCCGGTCTGTTGGGAAATATTCAAAATATGGTGTACAAACATGAAGGTAATAGAATCTAAGGAGATTCTGTTAATGCCCTAAAGATTTGATGGAGTCATGCATGAATACTAATTTCAGATCATTTTTAGAACCTGTCTGGTATTTAATGTCTGTCAGAGATGAATCAGACATCACATACAAACCTAAAAATCAGACACAGCTTTCTGCATCAAAACTGCACCACTGTTCCTGTAGTAGATTATTTGAAGGGAAGAAAATCATTTTGATGTGTGATTTTTCTTCAGTGTTGCGTTTCCCTCATGCCCCCCCCCTCCATCACACCATTCTTCATGTAATAAGACGGATTAAACCGATCCCTGCAGCTGTTTGTGGGCCGTCAGCAGCTTCTACATGGATTATAAATCGCTTAATATATTTGGATGTCTGTGTGTCTTGATCTCTGCAATGTCAAATTGGGTTAGGCATCATGAGACACCAATATCTAATGCAAATCTCTTATTTAGTGAAGCATTAAAACCGCTTGTTGCCGCTAAAGCAAATAAGCTGCCTCTAATGAAAAAAAGCTGCACATTTTTATCTCGGCACTCGCGGAGAGGATTGGAGCTACTGTCTGCTGAGGTTTTCAAGACAAAGTTAATTGATGTTGGCAGACGTGATCTGAGTTTGTTAACTGATCGGGCTGACTTGCATCGTTGGGAGCTGGTTCAACAGAACGATGCACAAACACGTGCAAACTCGCTGCGTTCCACGCCTCTGAGAGCGCCCTTCGCGTCTGAGGTTGCAGTTTTACCTTTCCGTGGCAACCTACGCGTCCTACACACACAAACAGACACACACACAACCTGCAGATCCTCCACCGAAGATGTTGTGTTAGCACACACTCCACGCAGTCCTCGGAGATCGCCGTCATACAGCGAGGAGCAGTTGCTGGGCCTATTAAAAAAGGAAAAAAAAGGGGGACACGAGGCCAAATGCAAAGCAAGATGAAAGCTTCACTGTTGGCATGGAAACTGCCTGATCATCTGCGCCATGTGGTTTGATGTTTGGCTGATTCTGGGTCAGTGAGGAAGAAAAACCGGTCTGATCCAGCACCATTATGTGAGTGCTCTCTGTCAGCCTTTTGCCTTTCGTTGTTGTTCTTTTTCTCGTGCCAGTGTTCTTGAAGTGAGCTGCGTGATTGGGAGCGGTGATACTCACCACTGAACCGCTCCTCAGTGTCTCATCTGAGCCCCGCTGGAGCTCGTCGTGTGTGTGTACCCAGGCAACTGCAGCGGGAGTGTGTGAGCGCCTGCTGTTGTGTGCTTGGGTTTGTGTTTACAGATTTAAAGAGCATGCACGATGCTGTTGCACAAATATACTGGTTATACAGACACAGTGGCTCCTCTCAGCGTTGTTTACTGCAAAATGTGGAGTAGTTAACTATTGAGTACTTAAATCGGTCAGCAATGGAAATCAATAAAGGCTTTGTGGCTGGTTGTTGAATAATTGCACAAAGAGGTATTCAGTTTGTAAAGGTTGTTGCATTCTCTGTGGATGATGCCTCTGTAACTGCAAGAGTCCAAATCTGTGTGTTGCATTTTATTCCTCCATTTACACATCCTTCTGGCCAGTTTTGTGTCCAACACCTCAGCAGCCCCCCTGTGCTATTTTAAGGACTGCCATTGTTTTTGCCGCCTTGATGTCGAAATCCGATATTCCAGGTGTTGTCTGGCTGCCCCGCACCGTTATGCAGATACTCTTTGCCATTATGCATGTCCAGTATATGTTAAATATGTTAAATGTCACCACCCAGTCTTGTTAAATGACCTGTTCTCACTCCATATCCTGAAATGTTCAAGAGCTGTTGTGTATGTTCTGCTTCAAATCTCTATTAAATCAGTGAGTGAGGCAGAGTCTGACTGGGACGGGGAACATACCTGTGAGAGTTACCACTTCCTGCTTTTCCTGCTGTATGTTGGTGTCCACTTCCTCTTACATTATGTGATAATGATATAAACACAGGAACTAGCTACCACTCTCTATTTGCTGAAAAGGAAATAGGACTGCACAATACTCCCATTATGCTCCACCTCCTGGATGCTCTTTACCAGTCTTATCAGAAGAGCGCCTCCAGCTCTGAACGACTGTGGAAAATGCCCGGAAACAAGCTTCTCACTTCTTCCCCATAACATCTCCTCCGTTCTCATGTGTGGAATTGGCTTTAGCTCCTCGTGTGAGTACTGTAATTTCAAAGGGCCTCCTGTTACACCATGCCTAAAACTTTTCTAAACCCAGCAAAGGCGTTTTTGTTTCGATCTTTGGTTTTCGTGTGTAGTTTCATTGCCGGGTTATTTTTGGAAGGTTTCTGTGAGCGTTTAATCTCCTGTCTCGTTCCCCCCTGTGATCAACAACGTGCGGGCTGTAGTTGCTTTCCCAGTGCTGTTTTCTAACTCTAGCCTGTACTGTGCTGGGGGACGAGCCTTCCAGCTTGATGTTTAACTTGTGGTTTCTCTCCCACTTCAGGTGCTGTATCTCATTACCTGCCTCTGTTAGTGTGTTTCCCTCTGTGCCCCATTCATCCACACACCTTTGAATGCAATGTGCCCATGAAGATCCTTTCTAGTGTGTATGCAGAAAAGAGCTTTCAAATTCCTGTGCGCGTATGCACACATTTTGCTTGTTACTGACATCAAATGCTCGATAAACCTTTCTATCTCTCGCATGCTCGTGTCTGATCTCACTGAGATATCTCCCTGCTGTCTCCTTCCCCTTCGGTGTTTCCTTTACTGGTTTCTTATTCTGCTCTCTTTGTCTTTGCTTAGAAAAAATTCTTAGTGAAGACAATTCCTGTAGAATTTTCACACAGTGGCACAAATGCAGTGATAGGATGTCTGCTTTTGTGTCTCACACTGTTCTCCATGATTATCTGATAACAGGAGAATTCTTCTGTGGAAAGCGTGATAACTTTTCATCAGCAGAGGCCAGTAGGGCATAAGCACCTGTAGATACACCTTTCCGGCATTATTTCATAAAAGGAAAAAAGCTGTTGCTGTTAAGATGAGCTGTTACTGGCTGTTGATATATACAGTATATAAATTTAATTTAATGTGCAGTGGAGCATTTTGCAAATTTGTGGAGTCTTGCTTGTTTGATCTCTCTCCAGCTACTAGTTACGATGGATATTCTCGTCATAAATGTTCTTTCAATAAAAATCTGCTTGGTTTATTCAGCTCAGCACCAGAACACTCACAGTGGGAAACAAACAACCTGATTCAGCCTGCCAGCTATTCTAATTCTAATTATTATTCTAATTCTAATTCTAATGGCCCTGCCAAGATGCCTACAGTTTTCCGTGTACGGAAAGATCTGCAGACCCATCATCTGATAACTGTCTGATATTTTGTTGTTTCGGCCATTGAGTGCATAGCCAGCAATGAAAATCTTTTGCAAGATCTTGTATTTTGTGTGATGCTTTGAAAGTAGATACATTACAATCCTTGGATTTGTTTGGTGGACTGAGATTAGTGGGAGACCAGGCAAGAACCAGTCAAATTAGGAAAACCTGCGGCATCTCTCAGGGTGGTGACTGAAGTTTTTCGGGTAAAGAAAAATAAAGGAACTGTATGCTGATTTTGAAGCAAAGCTTTGGGTCTTAAATCAACCCAGACTGGTTTCCAGTGTCTCATTCAGCTAACAGAGCTTAGGCCCATAATGCTGGAGATGGCACAAACAGATGGCCATAAATATCCATCTCTTTCAGTGCAATTTTTCCTGTTTACCACTCCCTCTTGCTTTTTTTTTCTTTTTCTTTTTGCGCCGGGTTGTAGAATTTTGTGAATTCTCACCAAAGGACATGTATCTGTTTCTGGATTGCTGTGATATCCTTTTCTGTGGAGGCAGTCAATGAGCAGCTTTGCCCGTCCCTTTTTGAATTTTTCTCCAGAGTGTAATTGTCTCTTATGTTTATCTTGCTGCTCCATTGTCTGCTCACCCACTTATATCATTCTTTACCGCGCTGCTTTTAACCTCCCTGCCTTTCTCGTCTCCATGGGAGCTGGCTTTAGTTGATTAGAATGGCCCTGCTTGCTTTGATTAATTAGACGAGTCTCTTCTCCATGCCAGTCTCTTCTGTTCTCCTCTCCTCTCGTTTCCACATTGACTGGGAGCTAAAACAAACATGAGGCTTTCCATGGAAGTGGTGCCCTGATGACAGGAACTAACTAAAGCTGTTGATTTGTCATTAAACATGGTGCACGCCACACTAAAGTCAGCCTGGAGAACACTGCTTTGTAGGATTTATGAATTTTAGTCCTTATAAAACCTGTAGCTTTTTGAATCCACGTGTACAGTGTGGAATGAGGTTATGCCAAAACACAAATTAAATTAACACAAAGTCTCTTTAACAACCAAAAATTTGGAAGAAATGATCACATTTCCAGCCTAGCTTCTTTTGAATATTTAGGCGTGTCACATAAATTGCATTTGTGCCCTCATCTGTTCCAACTCTGGTTAGATTTATTCAGGAGAAGACCTCACTGCGTTGACTCGCTGTGTTGTGTGCTGTGTCATTGCTCTCTTGTCTGAACCCAGCTCAAACCTGGCGAGACAAAAGCTTGGAACCATCATTCTCTGCTCACCTTGTCAACCCTCACAACATTTTAATTTGTCCTTCAGGCTTTGAGGATAACAACAGTCATTTCCATTTCCATGACCCTGTCTCCTCTCTCATTTGTCTTCTATTTCGGTTGTACCTCTCCCTTCTTGCTATTCTGTTAATGCTTAAGTGAATTTAACTTCTCCAGTTTTCCTATGAAAAATGTGTCTGAAGCCACTACAGAAACCTCTGCAAGTCTCTTTGTTGCTCATTTTTCTGCACTTCTCTTCCCCTGCCTGTATCTTTTGTGATGTGATCCCATCAAGGCCAAGGGGAAGGAAACACACAAATGTGCATGGAATGCACACAAAACTAATTTTGAGACAAAAGTGAAAGGCTGACTGGGGAAGTTAAATAGTGTTGTTATTCTCTAACAGCCAAATGCAGCCTCTTGAGAGGCAGCAGCACCCAGAGAGTCAAGGCTTTTCTCAGAAATGCAGGCAATCACGCAGCAAACTCCACAGCTTTCTCTCTGTCCTCCTTCTTCCATTACAGGCCATTTTCATCAACAGAAGGGGAGGCTGAAAGCCAGAGAGGCTGTGTATGCAAACCGCATGTATGGCACAGTGTGTGTGTTCTTTCTCTGGCTTTGTGTATTTTCGGTAATAGCATCCAAGCAGGCAGGATGACGGTCTGTGTGTCTCTCTTGCAGGCTGTGAGCCCGGTGCAGGGTGAGGATGAGCATGCAGGGCAGCAGCAGCGGGAAGGGGAGTGGCCAGCACGCTGACACTCCCCCCCTCCGTCACACCCCCGGACCCAAGCTGCAGGTGCAGCGTTCCCAGTCCCGAGACACCATCACCATACACTTCTCCGCTCTTGGGAAGGAGGAAGAAGATGAAGACGAGGAGCTTTATGGGTTATCAGCCGGATCTCCCGTCGGTAAATCGGCTGTTGATGGTGCAGAGGGACCTCAGGCTCGTGACCAGCGTGTTGCCGCGTGTTTGGAGGCAAAAGAGGAGTTGCTGTTTGAATCCGCTGGTGGGGAGGCCTCCTCGGGAGCTTCTGTACTGCCTGTTTCCTCCACCACCCAATCCGTGCAGCCTACAGACCCTCAGCTACACACTCCCTCTCCTGCCATGGCTATTATCCCCTTCTCTACTCAGTCCCACCTGTCGTCCGCCCCTCCTACCGGCTCCTCCTGGCCAGCCAATCCACCAGCCACAAGTTCCATCTCCTCCTCCCCTTCCAAGTCTGTAGCACTGTCATCGTCCAAGCCTTTTCTCAGCCTTGTTAGGTCCTTGTCCAATGACGTTGAATCTCAAGAAACGGGTTCAGCCATTCCTGCCACGGTACCGCCACAAGCACGCCACAGACACTTATACAAGTCTATTGTCAAGTCGTTGTCCACTGACACTTCTAAGGCTGAAAATCAAGAAGGGGGCCATCACTATCCTCAGCATCCGCAAATGCTGCCATCCCATAGGCCTCCGCCTCGCAACATGCAGCTCTTCAAACAGTTCTCCCAACCCCGTCTATCCTCCAGCCCTGTCATTGTCACCCAAGCAGGTGGAGACTCCAAAACAGCCCCCTCCTCCCCCATTATGTCTCCAGATGGTAGATCCTTCTTTAAAGTCCAAGAGGTGGAAGCCAAGATTGAGGACACAAGACGACGGCTGTCAGAGGTGATGTCTGATCCTCTGCTGCTTTTTAGTAAGATCATTGGGGACGAGTCTGGTGTAGGAACGATGGGAAGTGCTGCTCATCGGGCCAAATCACTCTCCGCAAGTGCATCTGAGCTGAACTCGGTGGCGGCGGTAAATGGACACGCAGATAGCCACAACTACAGCATCAAGGAGGAAGGGCCTGAGGGGGAAGAAGAGGAAGAAACCCCTACAGGAAAGGGGCCCGACAGTGTTTTTTTCTCATTCCCATCACTGACACTAGCTCCAGCTCACACCCAGGCCTCATCATCTGCTCTCCACAAGTCTCCATCTCTCACTTTGGGTCGCTGCTCAATGTCGGCCCTGGTAGCTCGACAGGAAGATGAGGACTTCTGCGAACTCTACAGTGAGGACTTTGAGTTGTGCACTGACACAGAGACCCCAGAGGGGGATCAGTCACTGTCCCGGCAGCCCAATACTGGCAGCACTGGTTTGTGTAGTGAATTTGAGATGGAGGAAGAGAGGGCAGAGGAGGAAGTGGAGGGTGTGCCTGTGACTGGCCTCATCTTTCTAACGCAGTTGGTGTATTGGTATTTAGTTCTTCCAGTGCCTCCATGTGTATGTGCTGTGTTGCATGGATTAGTGGCCGGGTTCATGCTGGCCTTGCTGGTCCTCTGGCTGTCTTCTCCTCGACGCTCCTCTTCAGGGACCAGAATAGGGAGACGGAGGATAGAGCCATGGAATGTCCCTCAGCTGGATATCAAAGAACCAGGATTATTTAAGGTGAGAAAAAAACATAAATTGCTTAGATTATCTCTGCCACTCTTGGAAGAAAGACATACTGAAATCATGTTGTATATACATTGTATAGATGAACTCGTTTTGGGTTGTAAAGTTTTAAAGTAACTGACCGCACCGTTGGAAAAATGCTGTGCTGCTTCTCATGGTTTTGAAAAATTCCCTGGAAAATGGGAATCAAGTGCGGCGATTGGTGGACGCACATGCTCACATAGCTGGATTTAGAAGACTTCCTGAACCCTCACACATTTCTTTTAGTCGTCTTCTGGAATAGTTCTTTGGGCTTCTTGAAAGACATTTCAAAGCTCTTCTTTGGATGTTGGCTGCCTTTTGATCCATTCTCTGCCAAGATTATTTCACACTGCTTCAGTAACTTTGAAGTCCGTGTCCTGGGGAGGATTCATCGCTCCATAAGAACTGCTGCCACTGGCTTTCAGTCCAGTTCTTTTTTTTATAGGGCATACCTCAGCCTTTTCTCCCTGTTTCCCTTCCTTAAGAATTGCCTCTTGAAAGCTACCCTTCCATGGAGACCATTTCTGATGAAGCTTCAGTAGATGAATCAACTGAGGGTCCAGATGCGTCTCTGAGGTATTTTGCGGAATTTTTCTCTTTATCGTGGTATCTTTTGCTGATACCGTTCATCTGACATGGGTATGATTTAGACATGTCTCTTTTTTTTGTCCTCCCTTACCCAGTTTTATCTTTTTTTAAGGGCATGTTCTGTACCATGCTGCTATGGACCAGGTTTTCAGCTAAGGCTTATTTTAGAATCACCTTGTTGGATCAAAAAATACCAAGCTGATCCAACCATTGGCTTCGAAGATGCATTTAAACCAATTAGATTGCTTTAGTACAGGGTGCATGTAACACAGTGCCAAAAGCCAAAGTTTAAAAAATGGCCTTTGCTAAGTTGTCTGTTATGTGTAGACAAAATACTGGTCCAGCCACTTCGTTACAGGCCTTTTTTAAAGCTACCTCAATGTTGTTCGTCCTAGTTAACCGAAACAAATTTTGGACAGAAAAAGACAGACTTTCAAAACAACAGAGAAGCTAAGCTCGACTGAAGACTGCGTCAAAAAAGAACAAATCTGCCTTTTTGTAAGCAGAATATTGAAAAAACAGAGATAGGGTTCAGACTTTTTAGACGTCAAGATAATCATGCACAAAAGTGGGCAAATCAGCATGATCTAAATTGTGTGGAATTGTTTGTTGTCCCTCGAGAATAAATGCTCTGTATATTCAGAGTGTGTTCTTTGCCCTGACATTTGAACATCCTTTCACTACTACCAAGCACTGATTTTTACTGCTTGTTTTAACCTGGTATGCTTTGCTCACTGACTCTCCTTCTGGAAAGGAAAATAATTGAACTATTTGCAACCTCATGGGGACACCATGAGTTTGAGTTAAGCGTTTTAGTTTTTTCCTTTTCCATAAATGTTTCTTTAAACAAACATTTTAGTGGGAGTTATTTATTCCCTGATCTCTTTCGGTTTATCTCTGTTTCTCAGTGCTGCAGAGACTGAGTTGAGAAATGTTTTGGTTTAAAGGAGTTATGTAAGCATGTGTACTTGGATGTAGGTATCAAGCTGTTGTGAGGGTGGAGCTTTATGACTAGAGGGCACAGCTGCTCCAAAAGAGGAGCTCTGCAGTTATGCAGAGGCAAGCACAGGAATGATAGCAGCTATAGAGATTTAAAGGATGTACTGCCAACCATAGAGTAAGTTATATATTATATATACAAATATTTCAAATGTTGAGAGGTTTTCAATGTGGATTCACAACTATGTTAACTTCACATTAAAATACCCTAACAGCCTAAGAGATCAATGAATTAGGGGGAAAGTCTAATTGGTCCCATTATCCCATCTCTACCCTTGTCTTTTAGAAGAAAGTATGAAAAGAGTAATTCTTTGATTAATGGCTTAAGTAAAAAGAAAAAGCTCAGCATCTTCAGTATGTATCCTGTGGTGCTTATGAGAAATGATTGTAAAATTCAAATACTTTTTTTTCATTTTTTAAAAAGTTGAAATTGTAGTACAAAATTATAAAAAATATCTTTAAGCATCAACTGCTGAACTGTACTGTGTATACCTCTTAGAATGTGTTATTCTAGTACAATAATAATTGTGTTGTCTTAAAATCTTAGTGAGAAACGTCCTTTGGGTTGGGGCACGGTCTGGGTTAGCATTGAACAAATGAGATCTTCCTCAGACAACACTGCAATGTAAAGCTGGTATACATTTGTGGAGGAAATCGCAGCAGGGCTAATGCAGTGCTCTGAAAGACCGCTGTTAGAGCTCCACCGTTCAAAGAGAAAAGAGTGTATGTAAATAAATACGTAGCAATACCTTCAGAAATGTTGGTCAGTCAAGTGACACGTTCCTCTCGTTGTACTAATCTTTCAGGGCTGGATGAATGAGATAAACAGCTACGACCCAGAGATGTACCACGCCACCCTGACGCACTCCGTTTTCGTCCGCTTAGAGGGCTCAGTTTTGCGTCTCTCCAAGCCCAACAGGAACATCTCCCGCCGTGCCACACACAATGAGCCCAAACCTGACGTCACTTATATCAGCCAGAAGATCTACGATCTGACCGACAGCAAGGTGCAGTTGTACATGGAAGCATGTTGATCTTAAAAAGAGAGATTTTGTAATCTGTGTGAAAGCAGAATCTGCAGCCGAGACAAGTTGAGGTGTTTTTGTGGCACTAACGTGTGTGTGTGTGTGTTTGTTTCTCTGCTTGATTTCCAGTGTGTGTCAGTGCTTGACAATAATCTTAACAGACATCAAGCACACACGCCCTCACATTTGCTTTTGCCTGAGTGCTTGCTTACTGAAAAACCCATCTCCAGTGGCATATTTACTCATTTCCAGGGGCTCTCGCTGTCTGAAAACACGGTTATAATGTCACAGGAGCCTGACCTACAAAACTACAACTTTCAGACTAGTTCCCAGACTCAACGGTTTTGAATTTTTAAAGATACAACAATAATGACTCACACTTATGTCAGTGATCGTGCGACAAAAGGTGGATAACATATTCAGTCGCCCCATGAGCTTTATTCCTCTCCCTAGTCAAGGCTCTCCCATGATGAGGATTTATTTTACCTTGTACATGTCTCCACAGATCTACCTGATGCCCCAGAGCCTTGCTAGAAAGAGAGTTTGGAACAAGAAGTACCCGATTTGCATTGAGCTGGCCAAGCAGGATGACTTCATGTCAAAGGCCCAGGGAGAAAAGTTTGAAGCTGTGGAGGACAAACTTACAGGGTTGGCTGAGAGGCTAGAACGAACAGATAAGGCCGAGAAGGCTGAAGGCTCAGCATCAGCAGAGGAATCCAAGAGACCAACCTGTGGAGGAGGAGATCTGACAATCTACTTGTTTGGGAGGACTGGGCGGGAAAAAGAGGAATGGTTCCGGAGGTTCCTTGTAGCCTCCAGATTGAAGGCAGAGGGGAAAGGTGCCGGTGTGCCTGGCTTCTGCAAGAGTGGTGAGCTTCATTCTGAGCTATGAACACTGTTACAGATAAAGGTGCACACACTCTTATCCCGTTGAGTATTTAGGCTATCAACCACGCTTTGCCTTTTCCAGACATATAATATATTTGCACAGGCCCACATCAGTCATTCAAAGTGACCATTCTCTTGGGTATGTTACTGCACAGCAATCAGATCTGTGCATAAGCCTCAGGCTTAGGGACTGCCAATCCCCTCAATTGAGCGAACAGCTGAGTGTGAATGGGTCAGCAGGATTACATGCACAGAGAAGCAGCATATTATAGTATTGGTCTCCACGGTGGAGTATAACCTTGTAAGGATAAGACCCTATGTAAATCGAAACACTAGCATTGTGTAGGTTCAGTGATAAGTGCGGGTTGGACAGGATTACGGGGAAGATTATTCAAATATCAAGGAGTTTTTTTTTAAATTATAACATACTGTACAATTATGCTGAAAATGTCTTCTTCTGTGGAAATGGGAGTAGGGTATGCTAATTCCCTGCTGCGGTACATTGAGTCTAGGAATACAAAGAGTATTCTAATGATTATGCTAACTATTTGAGCATGCATTGTGTATGAGTTGATCTAGTGATTGGAATACTTAAAACATTGTCTAACCCACAATTTCAATTTATGCTGCTGCATAACATCTTTCCATTATTATTTATTTTTTCCCCTTGTAGCCTTCCTGCCCTCCCACAGCCGCAGCGGCAGTGTCCAGTCTGGTGGGGGCCTGGAGGCGGACAGCAGGAGCAGCAGCAGGGGGAGCCAGGAGGAGCTGTCCCAGCCTCGTCCCAGAGAGACCCCCTCCTCCCTCTCCTGTGGCTCAACCGGAGGGATGAAGCAGAAGATGTTATTAGACTATAATGTCTACATGGCCAAATATGTTAGCCCCAAGGAACCACCAAAAAGCCCGGCCACCAGCCCTGGGCATAGCCCCGAGGGCAGCCCCAAAACTACCAAAAAGGTATCAAACAGGTGGACTCATGTCAGGCCAGGCCCGTATCTGATTTTATTTCTCAAGAATTGGTCCCACAGACACTTTGCCTCTTCATACTATAAGTGGATAACAGTATGAGTGTATGAACATAATTTCATGCTCCTCTCCCTTCCTGTGTTAATGCTGACACAGATTGGGAGTGTTGAAACAGCTGAGACCAGCTCCAGAGAGCCTGTGGTTGTTTACAAGATTAAGATTGTTTAGATTTTGTTAGACCTAAGGGATGCAAATAGGGTTGGTAAAAGAAGCATGTACTGTAAAATGAGCTGATGTCTGTTTACATTCAAATCCACAGGGTTCAATTAGGACTTGGTGCAGCATGCGGGTAAACCAATTGTCTTGCTTTGAGAACAGCTGGTATGGACAAAAGGGTTTAGTGAAAATGTAGTTTTCAGATCCTCATAACAATGTCTCAGTCAGTTCATCTAAATAAATGACTGAAAACTTAGGAATACAGCAACAAGGAACTCCAGATTTAAAGAACAGATCAACTTCAGTGGCAAATCTGATCAATAAATGAATCAGAGCGGGGTTAGAGGTGAATCATAAAGGAGTTTTCAGAGGAATTGTCAACGTAGACAGGCTGAGGGATCTTATATGGAGTGTGCTGTATATTTTCTGACATAATGAGTTGAGGACTGCTTAGTGTGGCTAACACATATTTGTTAGCAACACTTTCTACTCTCGTGGTACATACATTTGGGACATTTCAGTGTTTGCAAATGGGAGAGTTCAACAACCAGTGTAATTGATACATAGATTGTGCTTATATAACTTTTATAGTCTGTTCACACACACACTCACACACCTATATGGGGTTCAGTGTCTTGCCCAAGGACTTTTCAAATCAGTAGGCTATTGCTCTTCCTGCCCCACCATACCAACTCCACAAACATAGCACGAATCAGACCGGAAACTGACGATGAGGAAGGCTGTTATTATTTTTTGATCTAATAGATTAATCTTCACATATGCTGATAAAAGGAAAGATATTATACACAGACTGTGTGCTGTTCAGTTACACAGATATCCAGAAGAGATGGTGGAGTCTGAGGCCTGGGTCAATGCATTTATCGGAAGGGTTTTCTGGGACTTCCTAGGAGAGAAGTACTGGGCTGATGTAGTCTCCAAAAAGATCCAAATGAAGCTTAGTAAGATCAGGGTGAGTACTAGTGCCAGCTTGCACAAGTATGCTTAAATTACTGCAGCGATCTGAAATGAAAGTTTCCATGCCTCCTTTGGTCGTATTGATAATGCCGTAAACTGCCCTCTGCGTTTCAGCTGCCGTACGTTATGAATGAGTTGACTTTGACAGAGCTGGATATGGGATTTTCAATTCCTAAGATCCTCCGTGCCTCCCAACCTACAGTTGATCACCAAGGTAGGATGAGAAGGTGTTATGTTGTTTTGTTTTTTACTACAATAGCTGGTTTTTTCCTTCTAGCAGTAATTTCCCTCTGTGTTGTTCGCCATCTGTGGATATATACCTTGCCGTTCTTACGGAAAATATCATAATATGCACTCACACTCTTGCACATACTGTACATCCTCTCCATCACATCCTCAAATTCTCCTTCTTCGCCCCTCTCACTGGACCAAGAAACCTCTACCCTCCAAACCCTCTCTTTCTGTCTCCTCCGGAGTCTACTTTGTGTGCCTTGTGCTATTAAGCCATGGTAATTAAGCCTAATCTCTAGTTTCCCCTCATCCTTTAGTGAGACTCTGACTCATGCTGCAAATGTTGAGTTGAGGGACTAGTTTGATACACAGAGATAATACAGAGATGTATTAATACCTACTTAGGCAACTGGTTTTGGGGGGACATTTTAAGAGGGGTAAAGGAAGGAATGATTTTTCAGATAATCTCCTTCATTAGTTTAAGATTGTTTTAAATGTTTATGGATTTAGGATATTTTTAACTGAATTGCTTCGAGTATAACGCTCATTGCCTTTGATCTAAAGGAACTCATCATGAGGAATTTTCCTGTGAGCCATATTTCCTCATAGTCATCAAAACTGATAAATGTGTTTGTCTTATACACCCACAGTCATATGCTAACAATCCATCATCAGACACTTCAGTTCGCTCTGAAGGGAAAGAAAGCTCTAAATGTGTCTTGCCAAGAAATTTCATGATTTCAATAAGATACATTTTGCTATATATATCGTTATATTTAGAAGATGGTTATTTAAAAAACTTCACATTTCCTCATGTTGGGAAGAAGTGTTGGGGTACTTGGTAATCTGTAAATAATATTGATGTAACATAAAGCCAACACAAAATATTTTAAAAACAACAGCTTTTCCCTATTTTATGCTAAATCCAAAGTAATACAGCTAGTCAGTTTAAACATTTCATCCATTCCAACCTGATTTAGAAATCTGCGTCGGTATTGTGTATGCATTTCGTGCAGATCTGTCAAACACATGCAAACCACAGAGCATTTATTGGGATTGGAAAACGTGGGTGTGGAAAAACAAGAAAGACGATTCATCAACAACGGTTATAAGCTTCAGAGGGCTGGATTCATTGAACAAATGGCAGAGGGATTGAAATCTTAATTATCACGTGTAAACAGGAAGTATTGTGATGAAGGAGGTCATTTAAGAGGCCCTGCTGCCACAGGGCTGACCGCCATAGTGTTTTCAAGAGGGTAGACCTTATTGGTAGTTCTGTGGGGGCCCTCACATACATTTCACACACAGTAGAGGAGTGTCCTTCATTTAAAAGCGGCATCATGTGAACAATTATTAAGAATTGACAGATTTCCAAACCTCTCTCTCATTGTCTGCCCAGGCCTGTGGTTTGATCTGGAGGTCACCTACGCTGGCTCCTTCCTAATGACACTGGAGACCAAGCTGAACCTGGCCCGCCTGGGGAAAGAAGGTGAAGGGCTTGGGGAGCATGGGAAAGAATGGTGAGCCTTTAATTTAAATTTGAATAATTTATTCTTTTAAGCATAATAATGTTTCTCTTTAACAGAGTGTGATTTTAAAATGGTTTAAAAATCTGAGGATCTTAAAGGGATCTTTTTGCCCTAGTGGTGGAGAGAGAAAAAAAGGTTTAAGGGATTCACTTTTAGCTAAAGAAATGGCTCTGTGTTGGATTGGGATTGGGTTGATTTGCATACAGAGCCAAAGTGTGTTTTTCACAGTTCCTACCCTTTTTGTGTTGGCTCTTCCTCCCCCTCTCTTCATATACTAATCCACCCCTTATGGACGCCCGCAATTATGGAATTGTCCAATGAATGGTGAGTTTGGGAATGAATGTATTAAGGGACCTGTCACTGATGCGTTTTACATTTTAATTATCACTTCTGCTGAGGTTAAGTTCCTATGATCAATTTCAGCTGACATTCAGATTGGTATTGGGCTTCATTTGCTCTGTGTAAAGGTGTTGAGACCTGAGACCTGACAGTGAGTGTGTGTTTATGTGTGTGTGTGCGCATCAGGTCCAGGCCACGTACATACTGTCTGGCAGATAGTGACGAGGAGTCGTCCAGTGCTGGCTCATCGGATGAGGAGGATCCCCCAGAAATCCTCGGTGACAAACCCACTCTACCCGGAGCCGAGGGGTGAGCAGATGTCTCATTATGCATGTGGGGGTTTAAAAAAAAGGCTCTGCATATTCATAGGGATGTATTAGTGCAGCATATTCTGCCCTCTAAACCCACCCACCCACACGTTAGAAGGCTTGCAGCTGATTTAATGCATCACCTACAGTCCCACCATCGTGGGTGCTGAGTAGTGAGAGATGCTGTTATGAATAAATGATGAACCTGACTCACTCCTCGTCTCCCCCCCCTCCTCCTTGGTGTCTGTGCTCTCCTCTTATAGCTATGTAGGAGGCCACAGACCCAGCAAGATCATGCGCTTTGTGGACAAGATAGCCAAGTCCAAATACTTCCAGAAGGCCACTGAGACGGAGTTTATTAAGAAGAAGATGGAGGAGGTGTCGAATACACCCCTGCTGCTCACTGTGGAGGTACAGGAATGCCGGGGGACACTGGCTGTCAACATCCCACCTCCCCCGACAGACAGGATATGGTAAGTACAGAAGTACACCAAAAGAAATCCCCCCTGTATGCACCCGCTAACTGTAGGAATCCGTGCATAAGAGCCGGACGCTGCACCCTCTGCTGGGCAAAGGCAAACACATTTTATTTTATTTTTTTAAGTTATTATGACACATATTTATCATCTAAGAAATAACAGCATAACAATGTGCTTCTCAGTAAAGATGTGAGTGAATAAAACCTGAACTACTCAGCGAACTTCACATGCTTAATCAATTTGGACTCCTTTATGATGAGTTATGAGCTTCAGGAAAGTGTGCAGCACAAGTGTTCATTGAGTATTAATGTAACCAGCTCGAAGAAATTCCCAGCATAGAATTCTCTTATAAAAGCGTGTGCAGGCTGTGACAGACTTCAGCTCAAACATCATTTAGTGACAGCAGCAGTTGCATTCATCAAAACTAGGCAAATACAGTCAACCACAACATTTGCAACCCCGATATTCCTGTCGTCAGATTAGCAGCAGCAACATGTTTAATTTCATGTAGTGAAATCTGATTTTGCAGCTGAAAAGAGCAGCTGATAGAAGTTTCCTTTTTCACAACTCTGTTCAGGTTTAAGGAATTGAAATTTGTCACAACGCCACTCATCTGTTCAACATGAGATTATTGTTACACGTAGCTGCTTCCTGTTTTTGTGTTTTATTTTGCCTATGCTGGAGAGCATTAAAGTGTTGCTGGATAGGTCGAAGCAGCACTTATTCATCCCCTGCTAAATTTAACCTTGTTATTCTGATATGTATTGTAAAATCGAGCTGTTTTTGTCACTTGGTTGTTGCTGGTAAATGTGCTTTAATCAATGTGTGAAATGATGAAAGGCTGCCAAAAGGAAGACAAGCCAGTGGAAGCAAGACTGCAGACAACTGAATAGTAACAATGCAAAAGCTATTGGAAAAATCTAGCGGAAAAAAGCAGACAACAAGTCTATGATTTATAAAAATGTTTTTCTTAGTATTCAGAAGCCTTGTTAAAAGTTTTACAGAGCCTTATAAATGCAATGTGATGCACGGCTTTTATAAGAAGTCCATCTTTACGGGTTTTTTCTCAGTTTAATGACAAGGGGGGAAACAATCACTCTCTGCTCGTCTGATTTCAAGGGATCAAAAAGTTCAAACGGTTTGGAATGACTCATCAGCTGAATCATCGTGATTTTGATCCACCTATGTAATTTCCTCACCAGCCTGTTGTGCAATGACAAAATCAACAGGACCGGATATGTGACGGTTTTCTGAGAAATACTTTTCTTTTTAGCTTGTACCAAAAAATATCGCTGATGCTTACCGTGAATTTGTTCTCTTGGTTGCTAGGTACGGCTTCAGGAGTCCTCCTCACCTGGAGCTGAAAGCGCGGCCCAAACTGGGTGAGAGGGAGGTCACTCTGGTTCACGTAACAGAGTGGATTGAGAAGAAGCTGGATCAGGAGTTCCAGGTACACAAAACTCCTAACAGTATTTAAAAAAGGCTGAAACTTAACTCAGCATGAACTGTGAGTCCCTCTGATGTTTTTGCATCAGAATTTTAGATTCTGAAAAACAGTCATTTACCATTCATGCCCATTTGAATGTTTTGTTTCCCTTTAAAGTTGTGTGTGTAGCTTTCCCACCCAACCTAGTCCAGGTAATGATATACCTGCTGTTAGAGATAGCTGTCCAGATGCACACCTGCAAACTACGGCAGCAAAATATCCCTGAGGGCAACTGCACATCTACATTTATCTCTGCCAGACTCCTCAGCAGCTGTAATTTTGTACCCCCTCCCCCTCCCCAATATGCAGGAGTGAAGCAGTGAAGTCCTGTGGTCAGGTCTTAGTGGTGTATGCATCTGGTTTTGAACAAATGCAAAAACCGATGCACTTTGGAATTTACAAACCAAAGTTGGTAAATTAGGATTTTTTTCTGATTTTTTATGCTTCATACTTAAGATGTATAATAGCCAGTTTTAATTTAGTATATAAACAATTCTTTTGCTCTATGGAACAGTCACTCACAAAATCTTTCCTCTCAGAAAATATTTGTGATGCCAAACATGGATGACCTGTGGCTACCCATAATGCACTCTGCCATGGATACGCGTTCAAATGCCAACTTGATGACTGTGACAAGTGATGCCTTGAAGGATCCAGAACTGGAGGAGTCTGAGGTCTCTGACGTGTGAAGACAGCTGCTCAGTGACATTGACATTTTATCACCGTGGTGATACTGGATCTCCCATGCCTCACAGAAACCCAAGGTGCAGCAAAGACCTAGCCACCCTTTCAATATTTGTATCCATTTTTTTCAGATGCAGTAGACTATTTCCAGTCATGAAATGAGTACCTGAAGCTGGAACAAAAGCCCCTGTGAGTTTGTTTCGTTTGTAGCCACTTAAAGCAGGAGAATGGGAGAGAATAGAGACTCACAGATGATCATCTAATAACAGTTTGGATTCAACTAAATACATGTCGCACGGAGAGACCGTTAAACACACGGGTGGCATGACAGATCAACAACAGGCATCTGATTTTCCTACAAAAAGCACCATACCTATGAAGAACATCTGCACCAAACTTGACAGTCGAACAGTGTAAACATTTCGTGTGACGTTTCTAACAAAGTGGGATCATTTCTGCTGATATTACAAGAGCTTAGAGGGACTGTCGATTGATGTGCAAAGTAACAGTAATTTGGAGATCATCTTGCTGAAAACTGTTGTATCTGATGATACACACACCACAGGACTAACACCGACCATATCTCAACACCATGGACAAACTTATTTCATACAGCCTGTGTGCTTCTGACTGTGGATGTGACTAGAGCTACAACCCACTTTAGTTGGGTTGTACGAATTCATATCAGTCCGTAAACACAGTAATTCCATTTTTGCCAAGGCCTTGTTGAATGTACAAAAAGGAATGCGGCCCCCTAGCTGTGCAAGAAGTGGCCCTATCACCAAACCACATGCTTCTGGCTTATTTTTTTACGCCCTGTTTTCATGTTTTATTCCGATTTGAGTAAAAGTAATAATTTTTCTATCTTTATTGCCAAAGCAATATTTCAGTCATGTGTGAAGAGAATATTTTAGGAGACAGATAAAGCAATCGGTCAGTTGTTTTTCTTTGCTTTTTTGGGCCATTCTAGTGATGTTGTAATAACACCTGGAAATTCAGCAAAGAAACAGACTAAATGGAGTGATTTCCTCTCCACAAACTTCTCAAGATTACACATAAACCTGGAAATTGTTGGTAAAATAAACCCACTCCTACTGTTTCATTTCAGTAAACACCATACTGGATATTAGCCATATTATTTAATGTTGTCCAAGGCATCTAGATATTTATTCTGTTGAAGTATTTATTGTTTCTGCTGTTCTATGTTGTACATGTTAAAGCTCAAAACCTCCAAAAAATTCCATTGAGAATAACTTTTGTTCACTGGTGAAATTTCCTGTATATGTTTTATGTTCAGATATGTGTTGGCTAGTGTATGAGGCAGAAAGTGCCTTTAAAATAATCAAACATTCCTTCATATTGAGCCACCACGTTTCTTCATCAGTTGAGGGAGGAGTAAAAAAGAAGTCTTTGTGCCATTACTGTCTGTTAAGACATGCCCTTTGTTTTCACATGTTGATGTTGTTCATTTGCACAGTGATAAAAATAATAAACATTACTGTTGTATTCAGTGATGTCGCAGAATGTCTTGGTTCTGATCATTGTGGATCAATAAAATATTTTGCTTGGAAGGAAGATGGAGCTTTTTGTGGTTATTTACAGTAGTCTTGTTTAGTTCAAATCTCTTCTAATCCACAGGGATCCTCCATGAAGGCTGTGAACAGATTTAGGGGTGGTGTAGAAAAGGGAAGAAATGTCAAGGAGCAAACTGTCCTTGTCAGTGAAAACACACCCAGGGATTTTGTTTTATTCTGGTTAATCTAGTCTGAGCGTCAACAGTGTTGAAGGTTGATTTTTTTGTTGTCAGTGACGCCACCAATCTGTTCTTGAGGATGTTGATTTTGGCTCATGTCTAAGGAAATTATATTCAATTTAACCAAACTGAACTCCGTGTAGAACTGTCACAGAGCACAACGTCTACAGTTTTTAGTTTCTTCTTTGCTTTGAAGTGAAATAATCTGTCTTACAAAAGATCATTGGCCACGCTGTTCCTGCCCTGAGGGACCTCCTCAAAACTTGCTTTCTCAAGAGGGCACGCAACATTCTGCTGCCCTCGGGTCACCACTTAAGAGACTCAGGGACTGTCTTTACAATAGGGCTATAACTGATAAGTAACTTGCCTCTTTGAAGTAGGCCATGTGCAATTTCTATTTTCATAATTGATGGAAGCACTCTTCACAATTGTTTTACAGCCATGTAAACTACTCATCTGTCTTCACCTTTACTCAATTTGGTTCTTCTGAATTTTCATCTCTAATACATGTGGATGAAATAGCATTTATATGTATTTAAATAGTAATAACAAAGGTAGAACTGAAAATATTTACCAAGGTAGTTATTAGATTTGTTTAAGACTATGTCAAAGGTTCCAGACTGCCTGAATTCCATTAACATGGCAACATGAAATAAGGCAGAGAGCTTTTCCCCTGTGGGTGTGGTGGTGCTTTGATCACTCAGCTCTACCTGTGGAGCCTTCTTTCATAATCGTTTTGTTGTTTCTCCTAAAAGGTAAAAAAGAAGCCACGATTTTGTGCCACTCAAGTTTTTAAATGGCATTACTGGCTTGTTTCACGACAGGAATCTTGTCTAAGCCTGAAACCATTAACTTGCTGTTATGCACCAACATTTTTGGAACTCTTCTCTACAGAAAGGTTCAGAGCTCTTTAATTGCTTGTCTCAGAGGTAGATGGAGTTTTAGCCCCCTTGAGAAAATCATGCTAACATCTCCAGTGTTAAACAAATAGACTGTGATATGCAGTAACATGATTTTTTCTGCATTTTCTTAATCTTATGCTCAAAGTATAATGCTAGAATCATAGCTCAGAGGCCTCATTCCGCTATCTTCCCCACTAGCCTACTTGTACGTCTTTAATGTCCTTGGGCATCAATAAGCTAAAGATTTTTTTTAATGTATAAAGTATCAAGGTTACATGTATTCTTAGTTGCATGATTCTACTCTCGATTGCTTATATTCAATATTTGCAACTGAAGTTACATTTGTGTCTTGCTTTAAAAGAGAAACTTGGTGGAAATGCCAAGAAACCCCAGTTATGACAAGATTCATTTGATCTGGCACTTAAATTGACCTGTATAAATGGCCAAGGAAAAGACCATTTCAGTTCAAAAAGTGCAAAGTAATCAAATCCACACATATGGATGGATAAATGATTTATTCTTCTGCAAATACAATTAAAATTGCACAAGTGTCGATGTCTTGGAGCTAAAGCGACCACTTCAGTATCAAAAACCTGAAAAAAAAAAAAAAAAAAGGGTAGAGAAGAAAGAAAAGTTATTTCAAATGTGATTGACTTTTTAAAAGTTCACTATTCAAACACAAATTTACTCACCGTGCTGTGTGTGTGTGGGGGGGGTCCATCCACATGCAGCTCCTCCTCCTGCATGACAATACACAATCTAAGTGAGGTCGTTCATTGAAACAGCCTGAAAACTAGCCAGACTGAATCATGTCAGACAGGAGATTGACTTCATGATCACATCAGAAGTCTAACGCGCTAATATCATCCTCCATGTGCCAAAGCAAAACCAGACTGAGGGAATACGCACCCATTCCGCACGAGGCGCACTCGAGGACCACGTGAACACGCAGAACTCATCCAGTACGTGTCCCCCAGTCAGAGTTCGTCAACATCTGTGTAAAAAAACACAAAGTTAAAAGCCACATATTGGAACAATAGGTTAGAAAAATAATCTACAAGATATCTCACCTTAACGGTCCTCTCCATTGCGGCCTGCACACGTTGCTACGCCACGCGCCTTTTGATGACGTTTTACATCAATAACATTTAAATTCTGCTGAATGAAGTCACGTCTTTTCACAATACAGATAAACTATCCACGCAAACCAGCGGAAGGACATGTTAAATGTCACTTCCCGGCTTCCAGCAGATAGCCACATGTCTCCTTCAACGCCGTGCGTGAGCTGAGAGAGAAAATGTCCCCCGGAAGTGCTTTATACCACATCCGGTGTGTGTCGGTCTCTGTTTATTGGCTCAGGGGTGGCTGTAACGTTTCCCCTCCTCCACTCCAGTGGATATGAATCCCAAAGTCCAACCCCCTGCGTTTTCATTTTCAGGAAGAAGCAGCCCTTGCGTTTCATCCACAGCTGCAGGCTCAGATCCGCTAACGTTGATCAAATATTTCGAAACAGCTGCTCGTCAGCCAAATCACGTTTTCTATGTAGTCGGAAAGCGCCCGGACTAACCAGCCGGCCAGGTTTTACAAACTGCTCAGAGTTCAGGAAGTTGACAGTCGAGGTGGTCGGCGCTACGTGAAACCAGGAGACGCCGCAGAGCTACGGGCAGGGAGGAGGACAGCTCATCGGCGGTTGGCATAAGCTGGTTTGTGAATGGGTCAGAATGGCTACTCAGGAAGTAGAGGAAGATGGGGAAATGGATTATGGCGACTGGACTCCAGTGGCTAATAGGAGAGGAGGAATTGGGGTGAATAGAGCAGAATGGATGACGAGTCAAGGAAGTAAAAGGAGTTTGGAAGAGAGCAGTTCTGATGAAGCTAGTGGGTTTGTGCGGAAAAAGGCTGGGAAAAAGGAAGTTAAAATCATCCTGAAATTTAGGAAAAAAGATGAGCATATCAGTTTAAGCCCTATAGCAGTGTCCAGGGAGTTAAAAAAGAAGCTTGGAGATGTGGAAATGGCCAGGATTTTGAGAGATGGAAGCCTGTTTATAGTGTGCAAAACGGAGGAACAGAAAAACAAAGCGTGGGAAGTTGAAAGTGTGTGTAAGAAAATAATTAGTGAGAGAAAGATTGTGGGTGAAAATAAAGTAACAAGGGGGGTGATAACAGGGATACCAGTGGAGGAAGACTTGGACAAACTTAAACGCAGTATAAATGGAGGTGAGGTGAGCAGAATTAAAAGACTTATGAGAACAGTAAATGATGAAAGAGTTGAGAGCTTGTCGCTTCTTCTGGAGTTTCAGGAGTCAGTGTTACCAGAAAAAGTGAAAATAGGATGCATGATTTTTCCAGTTAGGCCATATATCCCCCCACCACTACGATGCTACAAATGCCAGAGATATGGACATATAGCAGTGGCTTGCAAAGGGAAACAGAGATGTCCTAAATGTGGAGATGAGCATAGGGTGGAGGATTGTAAGGAAAAGGTGCAGGATAAATGTTGCAATTGTGGTGGCCAACACAGGGTAACGTATGGAGGATGTGAAGTTAGGAAAAGGGCTGTAAAAATACAACAGGTTAAAACAGTTAACAACATAAGTTATGCAGAAGCAGTGAAGACAGTACAAGGACAAAAAGGAAGAGTGGAAACTGACAATGTTATACAGGTGTCGAGAAAAGAACCAGGTCAAACAGAGAAAGCAAATCCAGGACTGTCAGTGGATAAGATTATTTTGTTTATGGCATACGTGATCAACTGTACGGATCAAGTTAAACATAAAACTGAGAAAATTAAAATAATAGTTAAGGGAGCTGAGAAGTTTTTGGGCATAAAAGATATATCTTGGGAGCAAATTAAAACAAGACTTGAATCAGATGGGAAAGCAGGAGGAGCAAGTGATAAGGCAAACTGATTATTTTACAATGGAATGCAAGAAGCTTAATAGCAAATGGGCAGGAGTTTAAAGGATTTATTAGAGATTTAAAAAATAAACCAGATATCATATGTGTTCAAGAAACTTGGCTTAAATCAGAATTAGAATTTGTTATTAAAGGGTACGATAGTATTCGTAGAGATAGGGGGGAGGGTAGTGGAGGAGGATGTATAATATTTATTAAACAAGGAATGCAATATAGAGTTATAGGAAAAGGGAAAGAGTTAGAATATTTAATAACTGAAGTATGGACTAAAGAAGGAAATATTAAAGTTGTTAACTTTTATAATCCATGTAAAAAATTGTCTTTAGAGTTGCTAGAGGAACTAGTGGTACAGTTAGTAGGGAAGGTGATTTGGTGCGGGGATTTTAATGCACATAGCTCATTATGGAGTAACAGTAATGATGCTAATGGGATGGTGATTGAGGAGGTGATGGATATGACAAATTTAGTGTGTTTAAATGATGGAAGAGGAACAAGATTAAATATTAGAACGGGTACAGAAACAGCACTAGATCTCACATTAGTTTCAGATTCATTAGCAGGCATTTGCACATGGGAAGTAGTCAGAGGAACAACAGTAGGAAGTGACCATTATCCAATCATAACAGTAGTAGGATTGAATGTAGAAGAATATGAAACAGTAGGATTGCAGAAATGGTCATTTAGTAGTGCTGACTGGGATAAATTTAGAAATATTAGCGAACAAGAAATTGAAAAAATTGATAGAAATGAAGATGTTGAAAATTTAAATATTTTAATTTGTAAAGTTATTCTACAGGCTGCAGAAAAGTCAATAAAAAAGAAGGAAGGAAAGCGTAAAAATAAGATTGTTCCATGGTGGACAAAGGGATGTGAAAAAGCGATAAAATCTCGTAATAAAGCTTTTAAATTGGTAAAAAGAAATCATTGTTTTGAGAATTTTATTAATTATAAAAAATCTCAAGCAAATCTAAGGAGAATTATAAAAAGTGCAAAGAAAGAATACTGGAGGAAGTTTTGTTGTTCAGTAGGAAGAGAGACAGAGATTGGTAAAGTTTGGGGTATGATAAAAAGAATGAATGGTATAAAACGAGAGTATGGATACCCAGTTTTAAAAGATGGACAAATAATAGCAGTGAGAGATGAGGAGAAGGCAGAGATGCTGGCTAAAACTTTTGTAAAAATTCACAGCTCAGATAATATTAGTGAAGAAGGAAAAAGAGGGAGAGAAAAAACTGTAAGGGAGAATGAAGAGTTACAACAAGAAGAAAATTATAATGATTTATTAAACAAACCTTTTACAATGACAGAACTAAAACGTGCTATCCAGAAATCTAAGACGTCAGCACCAGGAAAGGATCAAATTTGTTATGTAATGATAAATCAACTCAATGAAAAATCAAAGGAAGTATTACTAGAATTATATAATAAAGTATGGGAGGATGGGAAACTGCCACAGAGCTGGAAGGAGGCTGTGGTGGTGCCAATACGCAAACCAGGAAAAGATACTACTAATCCAGGAAATTATAGACCAATTGCTTTAACATCTAACATATGTAAGATAATGGAGAAAATGATAAATGAAAGGCTAACATATTATATGGAAAAGAAAGGATATATAGCTAAATACCAAAGTGGTTTTAGGAAAGGGAGAAATACAATGGATCCAGCTGTATGTTTAGAACATGAAATTAGAAAAGCACAGGTTAACAAAGAAAGTGTGGTGGCTGTCTTCTTTGACATAGAGAAGGCGTATGATATGATGTGGAGAGAAGGATTGTTAATTAGACTGTGTCAATTAGGAATTAAAGGACGAATATTTAGATGGATTAAGGATTTTTTACAAGGGAGATTAATACAAGTTAGAATAGGGAAGAATTATTCGAGGAAATATAGGGTAGAGAACGGAACACCTCAAGGGAGTATAGTGAGTCCTTTATTATTCTCTATATTAATTAATGATGTTTTCAAGGAAATAGGGAATGGGATGGGGTTTTCTCTTTTTGCGGATGATGGGGCAATTTGGAAGAGGGGGAAAAATTTGAAATTTATTATTAAAAAGTTACAGGATGCAATAACAGAAATAGAACAGTGGTCATATAAATGGGGTTTCAAATTCTCAGTAGATAAGACAAAGACAATGTTTTTTACAAAGAAAAGAATTAGTACAGAGATAAAACTAAAAATGTATAATCAAGAATTAGAAAGAGTAAAACACTTTAAGTTTTTGGGGTTATGGTTTGACGAGGGGATAACATGGAGTGTACATATACAGAAAATACAGGACAAATGTAGGAAGGTGTTAAATGTTATGAGATGTTTGGTGGGAAGTGATTGGGGAGCTGATAGAAAAGCATTGAAGGCCATTTACTGCGGATTAATTAGGTCAGTATGGGATTATGGTTGTGTGGTGTATGGATCTGCATCGAGTTCATCTTTAAAAAAGTTAGACAACATCCAGTTTCAGGCTTTGAGATTATGTACAGGGGCATTTAAAACAACTCCAACAGCAGCACTCCAGGTGGAAATGGGAGAAATGCCATTAGAGCTGAGAAGAACTCAGTTGTCTTTAAATTATTGGGCTAATTTAAAAGGTCATAGTGATAATCATCCAGCACAAAGCACTTTAAAGTCTTGTTGGGAAATGGAGAAAAGGGAGAAAAATAGCTTTGGATGGACAGTTAAACAAAAAGCAACAGAGTTAGAATTAGTTGATTTAATTTTCAGTCCGACAGTACCAATGCCAGCAGTTCCACCTTGGATAGTACCTGAAGCAAAAGTAGATTTGAAATTATTAAAAAAGAAAAACAAAGATAGGGAGTTTATTTTGAATTCAGATACAATACAGAAATATATTAACAGTTATTATAGTTTCATTCAGATATACACAGATGCATCAAAAAGTTTAGTTAATAAGATAGGAGTATCAGTTATTGTTCCAGAGTTTAAAATTACAATAGGAAAGAGGATCAGTGATAACATATCAGTATACACAGGAGAAATGGTAGCAATTCTGTTGGCAGTACAATGGGTAGAGGAAATAAGACCAATGAGAGTAATAATTTGTTCAGATTCATCTTCATCATTAATCAGTTTACAGAGAAGTCATTCAGATAGTAGACCAGATATTTTAATAGAAATCCAACAAACATTGTTCAGAATTCAAATGATGGGAATTACAGTTATATTTTTGTGGGTACCAGCACATAAGGGAATAAAAGGAAATGAAAAGGCAGATAAGGTTGCAAAGGAGGCTACAATTAGAGAAAACATTGATATCTCAATTAAAGTTAGTAAGATGGAAGTAAAGAGCATTATTAAACAGAAGATGAAGGAAAGGTGGCAAAAGCAATGGGAGGAAGAGAGGAAAGGACGGTGGCTGTACATGATTCAGAGGAGAGTGGGAGAAATGAGTTGTGCAGGGAGGAGCAGAAGGGAAGAAACAATCATATCAAGACTTAGATTTGGGCACACTGGATTAAATGGAACATTATTCAAAATAGGGAAGCATAACACTGGAAGATGTGAGTATTGTGGGGAACAAGAAACAGTTGAGCATATTATGATATACTGTAAGAAATATGAAGAAGAAAGAAGGGAAATGGTTAAAAATTTAAAAAGGAAAAGAATAAAATTTGATTTAATAGAAATGCTTAGAAGTAATTCAAGCGATGAGTGTTATGGGATTATGTTTCATTATCTTAGACTAAGTAATTTAATTGATAGGATTTAATTTTTATTTTATTTATTTATTTATTTATTTATTTTTTTGGGTGTTTGTTTTATTTTGGTAGGTTGGTTTAATTTATTTTAGGTAGTATAAGTCATTCTGATCCACACTCCAAACCAGTTGGTGGCGGTAATGCACCGTTTCGTTGCGTGCCAACCGCCAGAAAAAAACCATAAAGAAGACTAACCAGCCGCCCATCCCGGTGTGAGGCCAGAGAATATGGACTGGACAGTGAGCAAGCAGGCTCTGCTGGGCTGCATTTTAGCGTTGCTTTGCTACACTGGAGTCCAACATAAGGTATGAGCTAACCCAAATAAGCTAGCTTCTATTTTAAAAAAATGATCTCGTAGCTACACGAAAAGACATTCTTTTGAGTTAACACTGTCTTTTTTTTCTGCCACGGTGCTAGCAAGCTTTCCAGTAGCTGTCATGTGGTGAGCCTCTGTTTTTCTGCTTGCTCCGTATGGTTTTTACACAAGCTTGCAAACACAAACGTAAGCTAGCTGGCTAAAATCGGTAATTTCAGCAGGCTTTTGAACCCCTAAAGTTTACCGACACCACAGTGTGTCATCCTGTTGGCCACCCTGTTCGTTACCAGTCTAGTTCAGAATCCGTGGAAAGCCATATGATCGAAAATGTAAACTTTGGTACTCTTATCTTCCCGGACTGTGTGGCTCCACAACTGTTGGAATACCATCTAAATACAATGCTGCTTTATCATAATCCACATAGAAATGTATAGACTTGTGTTCATCTTTTGGAAAGTTTGCATGTTTTTTTTTTAGCTGTCAGTTAAAAAAGTGACGCACAGACACTTCAAGATGTATTTAATCCCACTAAATGGCATGGCTAGTTCTGTAATTATTGAGAACCAGTTCTATCACACTAATGTTGTGGTGCATTCACTTTTTGAAACGGCTATCAGAAGAACTTCCCACTTGTATTTGTTTCTGAGCCGCCTGTGGTCACACAGTCTGCTGGATCACAGGGTTTTGTGTGGGGATCCTTTGAATATTTGTACTACTACTACTACATTTGCCTCACGGTGATGTTGGCAGGGCAAACCCGTACATTTGCATCACCAACTCGTGCTGGGTTTGTGAGCTGTGTTTGCCACATGCAGGAGGGCTCCTGAAAGGGTGCACGCTTTTACAAAAAAACAAGGGACTTGATTTAATTAAATCACTGTCTGTGCTGAGATAAAGGTAAAAAGACAATGCTGACTTAAAAAAACAATACAATTCCTCTCAGATGTTGCCCTTAATTTCAGTTGTTCAATATCAAAATACATCATTTTTATACGTAATGATTTTTTTTCTGGTTGGAATAAGTTAAACATCCTTTTTTTTCCTGGTTTAGACGGAACCAGAAGGATAGAAAGACCTGAGATGGCACCCCTTTGCTGGTGAATAACTAAGCCACTTCAGCTAAGAAGCAGATTAAAGAAGCCTTATAATCCCCTATCATGTCTCAGGTTCCTCTCTTAGCCTATTAGAAAGTCTGTGGGTGTAGTAGTGGGGCTGACAAGTTATGGTCTAACTATAGACTCTGCCTAAAGTGTGTTTGTGTGAGAGGGAGAGAGACGGATACACATGGCACATCCCACAAAGAAATTATCAATAAGTCTTTTTGTTTTCTCATAACAGCTCAGCTATCATTTAAGGTCAGATGTTTTAGCCTTGAAAACTAATCTGACAATTGATGACTCCTGTCTGCTCTTGATATTTCTTAGGAGCTTCTTCTGACATTATACCTCACTTGAACTGAAACCAGACAACTTTACACCCCCCAGATGGGCTTTTTCTCATTGCTCGCACACCATGACAGGTTTTAATTTAGGGTCATTTGTGCCTGTGTGTACACACATTGAGATAAGTCTGTTCATGAAAGTTTGCAATCACACAGTCTTATCGCCGTAGTAGATATACAGTAAAAGTGTAGCTGAACAAAGTGACATCCTCTTCTGAGGAGACGCCTCACGGAGCACTTTATGTTGACATGTTGACATAGGAAACTGTTATATATCTCCATGAACCTTTTAAATTGCGAAGCAGTCATTTGGTCAAGACTTGCATCTTCACCTGTCATCTCACTGACATTTAATTATCTTAGTGCCTCATATTGTTAGGCAATCCTACAAGAAAAATGTCTTAACATGCCTCTCAGATGCTTTCAGACAACAAGACTTTGTTGGATTGAAGCAGTTCTTAATACAGGGCTTTTGCAATAAGCATAAAGACACTTCTCATTCGGCCTATTTTCAATAACTCATCGTGGTTGCTGCACTGCACAAGTAAGCAAATGTGAGATCTTTTTTTTTGTCGGTTCCTGTGTTGGCTTTGTGTTTTTTATTTTTTTTTATATTTGGACTCTTGTGAGCCTGCAAATGCTTTCTAAGTGTTGGAAAGCATTTAACATTTTAAGACAGGCTCATCTCCATTTTCTTTGTCTTTTTCTACAAGAAAACCCAACTTTTTTTTTTTAGTTGAAAAACACAACAAGGAGCGCTTTTTGGAACATTTCTTTCCCTTTGGCGCCACCTTTTTAATACCACTGATTGTGCCTGATGCTCTCAGCCCTCCTCAAAGGTAGTCCTTGTTCTGCTGAGCTCATAGTGGGTCTGTGAAAGAGGGTTTAGTTTTTACTGCCATCTATTCGGGGTGATGTCTAACTGTAGGATTTTTGTTAACAGGAGACAACTTCCCACAGATACAGCGAGGGTTTGTGAAACTCCGGCTCTACTAAAGTGCTTGTTTATGCTTAGTGGGAAAGGAGCCAGTTTTAGCCTCTTCTGTGTTCAGGTTGGTCTGCTATGGAGTGGGGCAGGGTGCCACACCACCAACTGCCACCAGTCACTGCACCAGCCCTGTAGTCAATGGCCCTTGAAGGAAAATCTGGCCTTATTTGAGTGGGGAGAATTGGGATATTGGAAATTGTAAAGAATTTGGAGTCACTAACGTCTGTATTGTTGCACAACTCTCTTACGCAATACTATCTCCGTGTAACAGAATGAGGAAATGGGAGGGAATATACTCGTATGTTATTTCTTCGCTATATAAACCTTTAGCTCTAAGCCTCGTCCACTCTGGGATCCTGCAGAGGGAAAACAGGTGTCTCTGAAAGCCGAACACTTCAGCAGTTAAATGTCCATGACTGTAAAAGCCAGAGGTTAACAGATGTTTGCAGAGTAATTAGTTTGTGAAACCAAGAACCCTGCTACAGGTTATGAAAGCTCTAAAAACAGATTAGTTACGATTCTCCAAACACGGCTGGGTGATGCTTTTGCGTATGGGGCCCGGTGGGAACACTCACAGGTGCACAAAAGCTGTATAGAGTGTCTCAGGCTGCTGCAGGACATCCTTAGGCAAACTTGGAGGGATCTAGTTTCTGTCTTCGTATCAAGAAAAACTTTCGGGGATGGCTTTGCAGTGGGTACTGTTTGTTTTTGTGTACCACATACAACACACAAAATTACCAGAACTGTGATGCAAATGACTTGCAGAGAGAAAGAGGTAGGAATTGCGAAATGACCGTCCAGCACTGGTCACTGCCACATGTGTCGGGGAAATTCAAGCTGCGTAACCGAAGAGGGACTTCCAAAAGTGACTCAGAAGTGTATTTGCTGTAAAAAAAAAAAAAAAAAATTGTTTAGATTGTCACCAGCAGTTATGACCCCAACACCCTCGACTGGCCCACTTCCTGCACACAATTTCCTAAAACCATAGTTAGCGATATTAGCATTCCACTGCGGAGCGCGCACGGCCCACAGTGCTGCTAATTCTGGCATAAGCCAAGTCATGACGTTAGAGAGCTTTGCTGCTGCCATACGTTTAGAGGGTTATGCTGGATTTGCTGCATCTTCATCTCATTTCACTTGTCTTCACGTCCTCTCAGAAGAATGTCGGTGCTTTACTCGTCTGTTACAGTTTTTGTTTTTTTGGTTCCGAACCCGTCGGAAACAAGTGTTCCCATGTCTGTTCTTGGACCCCATATATCTGAGTAGGAGGTAAAAGTTTTGGATGGAGGAGTGTCCATATGGCCTGTCAGCCCACTGTTCGTCTGTGCAGAGGGAACTTGAAGCACCCTCCTCATTCAGTCTTTTGTAAAAAATCACACGCATGCTGCGTGACCACCGTGGACAACGTTCACTGTGATGGTTGTCGTCCAGTTTAAGAGCATTTCAACCCTCTCCGCTCCATTTGCATCTTCAGCTAATGTGACTAAATGCTCAGAAGAGTGCGCTTGCACTCTGAATGGGTGAACTGCATTATACGTGGGCTTCCATTTGCATTGTCACAAGAGAGTTGTTTTGTTGGGTTAGTAAGTGATGTGGATCAATACGGTGGTGGATCAGCAGGAAAATTCGCCCTGCTTCAGCTTGTTTTCTGAGCTTGGGATTCAAGCTGTAATGGCAGCACGTTGTTTTTTAATTATTCACAACGATGTACTACTTCTGTGCCGTCTTAGAAATGTTAATCAACCCCTTTGGAGTGTGCATATGAATGCCTTTTCTTAGATTTTCATTGATCCATTTTATTCTGCAATATGTTGAAGGCTATTATCCTCTGGGTATTGATGAAGTGTTGTTAGCTGCGGTGTGTTTTGCCCATGTGGCAGCACGAGCGTGGAGGTGCACGACACACGTGCTCTGAGTCGTTTCAGGTCTGTTGACCCAACTCCTAATTCCAGCCCTTGGCTTCAGTCTCAAACCGTCCGAGAGGAGAGATCTAACTGTACAATCATTTCATCATTTGAATAAAGTTAGCTCCAGCAAGGTGTGTGAGGATAAGTAACGCCTGAGTGTTCAGAGAATTAAGTGATTATTCACTGCCTTTTATATGGGAACGCATGTTCTGACCTGATTAGTGAATGTGGAAATGAGGATGCAGGCATACACACCCCTGTTTGTCTGATTTCAGATGGAATATGTCATAATCTAAGGTTTATTTATCAAATCTATGAGTGTGTGTGTGTGTGTTTCTGTAGGGGGTGTGCAGTGCCAGCACAGTGTCCCTTCCTGAAAGTCTGCTCTTTGTGTCTACCTTGGATGGAAACCTGCACGCCGTCAGCAAGAAATCTGGCTCTATCAAATGGACTCTGAAAGAAGGTAAGAGGAGATGAGCATCATCAAGCAAAGTTTTTTTTTTTTTTGGTTTTCCTTTTCAACCATCAGTTATTCCAGTAATTGAAGGGCACATATAAAGCAGTTTCTGCTATAAGTTTAATCATACACTGGTGTCAAAGCGGGCCTTTTAGTTTGAACAAATCAGTCTTCCGATTACATTTTCAAGTACTAAAAAGAACTACAAATTACCCGGGCCTGTAAAGTTTTAACTCCTGGTGGTATCACTCCAAAGATTGCTCAGTAGTTTAAGCCAGTTTATTATGATATTTTTCTATTGAAGTGCTACAGTCAATTTTTTCGATAAATACAAGTTATTGACAGCAATTCTGTTAAGAAAAAACAACTTGATGAAACCTTAGAAACCTTTATTAGTTGTAATAAACACATTTTAGGATGCAGTCTTGTGTGTAGGCTCGATTGAACAGCACAAGTGAGGTTCACTTAACCATAAAAAATGGTTAATTATTAACTGAGAGGGGCAAATATAGCCCGTAATCAGGGTCAGAGTGGGCTCGGGTAAGCAACTTTGCCGTGGTATCACCTGCACATGTACATCAGCATTTTCTGTGGTTACCATGTTAATGCGCCCTGCGATTAGGAATCAGATAAGGCCGACTTGGAAAACATGCCGCACAAACCTCCAAATTTGAGACTGCAGGTCCACCCATTACCCAAATCAGAGGATCGAAAGCAGAGGCCGCCTCCTCCGGTTCATCTGTTCCCTGGAACAGCTCTTGAATATAAATTTCAGTTGTTCCGTACCAGGCTTTGCACACATCTGTTGTTGTGCCTCAGTGAGGTAACCGTACACCCACAATAAAAGACTGTAAAGCAGATATTTTACATTGACCGGCGTAGAACAGCCCTGAAGCCACAAGCATGTTCTCTCACTGTTTGTGCATCCAACGTCTCTGGCTCTACAAACATGCATTGATATGTCAGCCGGACAGGGTAAACATCCTTGGTGCAGAATAGAAAACATTGTTTTCTCAACGCCCGCTTCAGTTCCTTTTGCTGAATGCTGTTGCTCACTGAAGCCAACAGTCGTTTAACAGCCTCAGATTATTCCACACCTAAACCCAGCCATTGTTGACCCCTCAGGCCGCCACCCCAGAGATCATCTCCACCTGCTCCACACCCAAAATGTTCACACTGTGTGGAGGTGTGTATTTGTTTAGCAGCAACAGAGGCATCACGTTTTGGTGCGAGAGTAGATAAAGTAATAAGTTACTTTTTAAATCTAATGTTTTTTTTCTTTCGGAAAATGAATCTCTTCTACTCTATTCAGATTCAGATTTTTAAGTTTCTACTTTAAGGGGAAGTTATTCTAAATATTTATCGGGGTGTTTCCTCTCCACTGATTGTATTTGTTGTCTTTGAGGCTCATTAAAAGGTCAAAGTATTAAAACATGTTTTATAAGATATACAGGGATCCTGTTGATATCCCGTATTCTTAAAATCCTCTCTGGTTTACTCAGAGACCGCTGTTTGCTTTTTGTGTAACTGGAGAATCTCTGACCATTTGGACTTTGTCTCCACAGCAACTGAATGTCATCAGCTTTCATGTTGTTGTCCCTCCTGACTGCTGTTGGCCATGCTTTCCTTTTTTGATGATATTCTTGTCAGTCCTGACTAGCATCTTTTTCTTCTGGCTCCTTACAGATCCAGTTCTTCAGGTCCCCACACACGTTGCAGAGTAGGTACCTTTACATTGTTCCAGCACCGCACACACGTATTCTGGTTGAGACGGTATATGCAAATTACTGGTATCATTATTATCTGTCAAGCATGCCTACGTTCTTCTCACCAGGCCAGCTTTCTTACCTGATCCCAATGATGGCAGTCTGTACTCTCTGGGAGGAAAAAACAACGAAGGCCTCACAGTAAGAGGAAATAACTTTATCACAAATTGTAATCTTCCGTTGGTCACAAGACTTATTTCTTGGTTCCTGTTCTATAGAAGAAATACAGTAGTACGATGCAGTTGCAGCTGTTGTGATGCAGCTTTTTTCACAAGTCATACATAAAAAAACAAACATTTGAATTGATTCGATCAATTCCTGTTTTAACAGAAATTACCATTCACTATCCCCGAGTTGGTCCAAGCCTCTCCCTGTCGCAGCTCTGATGGAATCCTTTACATGGGTAAGTCCCCGTCACATATAAACCATAATGTGATTGTTGAACTCTCGCCCTGGAACGTTTATTTCAGTGGGGACGACATTTCCATTAAAAGGTGCAGCCCATGTTTGTCACCTTGCCCACAGAAGCTGATGTTTTCTCTGAAAATTAAAAATCAAGACAGTTAAACCAACGTAATAGAGGAATGCCTATTAAAAATCAGCTCAGGACTTTGTCTTTCTTCTTTTTTTTCTTAGCTCAACCTGCCGCCGTCGCCTGTGCTCTTTCAAATCTACAAATGTTATTGCTCATCTTCAGCAGTGACAACATTTCATTGTTTAAACAGAGGCGGGTGACATTTGCCACCCTGCGCTCCTTATCAGACGAGCTTTTGTATTCGCTCGGCTGAGGCTGCCGAAGGGTTGCTGGGCTATTATTCTCTTTACTTGACTCTTTTCTTTTTTTAAGAAAGGCACAACACTACTTATCTGGCTAAATCTGTATCCTTTGAAATGGAACGGCCCCTTTTTAATATTTCTTTATTTGTGAGTTGTATTTATTGGATAATAAAAACACACTTTTTAACCTCTTTGACTTTTTTTTTTCCAAAAATGGACTTAGGCTCAGTTTAAACTTTAGGCCTAGCATGAGTAAACATGTAACATATTTGTTTCTATGTCTGTGCGTTTCCACGCAGGTAAGAAGCAGGACCTGTGGTATGTGGTGGACCTGCTGACTGGTGAGAAACAGCAGACTCTGACTTCCTCCTTTGCGGAGATGCTCTGCCCTTCTTCATCACTGCTCTATCTGGGACGCACAGGTAAATGCGAAACAGCATCCAGCTGATTTTTAAACTTCAACCGAATCCAGGGTGACCAGAAAAGCAGTTTTGTCGCATACACCCTTAACTACAGGCATTGTAGCTAATGTGTAAGATCAACTCGGTGATCTCCAGCACCCCTACCCCCACCCCACTCCACCCCTGCTCCTGAACTACATACAGGCCAGATCTTGTTACACCAATCCATTGTGGTTTAAAAGGAAATTTAACACCATTTGACATAGCAATCATAAGCAGATATTGACACTCAAACCCTCGGTTTAGTTTGTTTCATAAGCATCTCCATACACACTTGCATTCTTCTTTGTGATGTCCTTTTACCTGTCAGAGTATACCATCACCATGTACGACACCAAGAGTAGAGAGCTGCGTTGGAACGCCACCTATTCCGACTACGCCTCCACCCTTCCAGATGATGACACCAAATACAGTGAGATTATTATTCACGCCAGCCCCTCTTGGCTCAGTTTCCAGTGGCCGTCAGTGGTCTGCTTGTTGTCCTCCACAGAGATGGCTCATTTTGTGTCCAACGGGGACGGCCTTGTGGTGACTGTGGACAGTGAAAGTGGAGACATCCAGTGGGTCCAGAACTACAACTCCCCTGTGGTGGCAATGTATATCTGGCAGCGCGAGGGTCTTCGCAAAATCCCCCACACCAACGTGGCCGTGGAGACCCTGCGTTACCTCACTTTCATGTCTGGAGAGGTTGGCCGCATCACGCAGTGGAAATATCCGTTTCCTAAAGAGAAGAAACCAAAGAACAAATTCATGTAATTTACCCTTTTGGGCCATTTGATTATTTTTCCTTACGTATAGAATATCTTTAAAAAAAAAAGCTTCACTTAAAAAAAAATGTTTAAAAGAATTTTGCTAATAAATACAGACTCATAATGGAGAATAATCAACATGTGGTGTTAAACTGTGTTGGAGCACACGCATGTCCAAAAAGAAAACTGTTAAGCTGCTCAGTTTCAGCTTTAGTTTCACAGCCCAGCTCTGTTTTATATTTATGTACTATGTCCACATCTGCTTTCTGCTGAAATGGGTTAAGAACTTTCAGTGCTTGATTTTTTTTTTGGGGCCATGAAGTAACTTTTACTCTACTTTATATATTCTTTTTTTTTTTGTCCAGGGCCACTTTGTACGTTGGAAAATACTCAACAAGTCTGTATGCATCTCCCTCTCTGGTGCATGATGGAGTAACTGTGGTGGTGAGTGTAATGGCCATATAGGGCATATCTCGACTTAAGCATAGAAAGCAGGTTTGCTGTTTTGCATGAGGAAGTCAGTTTCTCAGCAGTTAATCTACTTGTTTCAAGGTTTCGTAATCTGCCTGAATTTCTTTATTTAATTTTTTTTTAATGATTTATTTGCATGGCTGCCACAGGGTATGTTTGTTTGTATCCTGTTCTGATTGTGTGTTAGCTTGCCCCAGATCAGGTCACCTTGCTCTCAAACTCCAAAACAAAATAATAAATCCAGTAGTCTAAGTGTAACTTGTAAGTGTTCTCTTTTACAAGTCTGTAAGGGGACTAACATGGGATGTGTGTGTCTTTAGCCCCGTGGCAGCACCTTCCCCCTGCTGGAAGGCCCTGATAGCCAGGAGACAGAGGAGGACAAAGAGTGTGTCATCACACCCAGCACAAGTGTGAAATTTAACGCTGCGCTCCGCGAGCGACACCGAGTCAACTACATGAGAAACTACCTGCTCCTCATAGGTATCACCACCTGTCCTTGTTAGTGGATGCTGTTTATTGGTTTGGCATCACACAATTTTGTCAACCCCATTTTAAGCTCTGGGCTGGTTGGGTATTGCAGTGTTGCAGTAAGACTGCCCTCTGCTGGATGATGAATGGAGTTGTGGATTCTGTTAAATGGTCTTCTTTTTTTTTTTATTTAACCCGATTTTAACTTGGGAAAATGCAACTGAAACTTGTATATAGAGGAATTAATTAATATATACTGTTTTTAAAAGGTTTTCTTCCTTCTAATATTTTTAGGTCATCATGAAACACCCCCTGAAGCTCACACTAAGATTCTTGAGAAGTTCCCCGACAACTTTCCCCGCAATCAAGCCAATGTCATCCCACCTACGACTGACAAGAAAGTGGAGGAGGTTTGTGTCAGCCATGAGCAATTATTTTAGTTTATGCAGATTCATTCATTCTCTGTGCGTCTTTTCTCATCCATTTTTGTGTTGTCCTTGTTTCTGTGGCAACGGCCCTCCTTGTTGTAGAAGGTCAATGATAGTGGAATGGAGGATGGGCCCCCTTCAGCTGTGTCTGAGACCTCTATCCAGGAGCCCGGCACCGGTGGTCGCACTGCACGTCCTGAGGCCCCTGTGGACTCGATGCTAAAAGACATGGCCACCATTATCTTTTCCACTTTCCTCCTGGCTGGCTGGCTAGCCTTTGTGATTATCTACCCTAAAGTAAGTCAGACACAAGCTTTTTAGTGTGCTGTAACGATAAATTGACCCTGATAGTGGCTCTAGAGAGTCAGAAGATAAATCACGCAAACAGTGAAATAACTCTTGAGTTGAATAAATCAACTTACCTTTCATTCTAAGCAGACACAAAAAATACAATTTCTCTCCCAAATTATTTTTTATTTTTGATGTGCTTAATGTGGTGTCCCTTTTGCTCAGAGTGTGCACAAGCAGCAGCAGCTGCAGCACAAAGAGTTCCAGAGACAAATGGAGGAGAGGCTGGAGCTGCTCCAGAGACAGCAGCCCTTCTGCCCGGCAGACGTCGGCCTGGGTTTGGCTGCAGACGGCGACTACCTGGAGGTGGCCCGCACTCGCTCCGATTGCTCAGACCAGAGCAGCCCTAACGTCACACCCCGCGCCTCCAACCACTCCAACCTATCTGTGTCGGAACTGGGCAGCATAGCCAACGAGCACGAAGATGGAGGTAAAGGCTGCAAACATTAGGTCCAGGCGCAGGTTTGTTTGTGTTGGATCATCCCCAGAGTGGTTTGGACCTGGTTTTCACTGTTTGAAATGTGTCTTCTCAGAGGAGGACTCCAGTATCATCAAAGTGGGAAACATAGCTTTCTATCCTAAGCAGGTCTTGGGACATGGGGCTGAAGGGACGATAGTGTACAAGTAAGCAAATCACCCATAACAACAATGAATTAAGATTCCAACACTCTTTAGTTAAACCTTGTATTTCTCCATCAGAGGTGTTTTTGACAACCGTCAAGTGGCTGTGAAGAGAATCCTCCCAGAGTGCTTCAGCTTTGCAGACCGAGAGGTCCAGCTGCTGAGGGAATCTGATGAGCACCCAAATGTCATCCGCTACTTCTGCACTGAGAGGGACCGGCAGTTCCAGTACATCTCCATCGAGCTGTGTGCGGCCACACTTCAGGAGGTCATTATCAGCGTAAAGATTTTTTTTTCTCACTTCTTCAGTATATCTTAAAAGTTGAGCTGCGTAGAGCTTGGTTTTAAAAAAAAAAACTTTTATGATGCATTAATGCATACTTTCCACATAGTTAAACGTTATCATGGTTCATTTGACACTTCCTTGTTTACCGAAGACAAAACTACAACAAAGGACTGATCAACAGGTTAACAGTTTTTGTACCACACTGACTTTCGTCTTTCATCTCACTAGTATGTGGAGAGAAATGATTTCAATCGTCATGGACTTGAGCCCGTTATGCTCCTTCAGCAGACCATGTCAGGGCTGGCACACCTGCACTCTCTTAACATAGGTATCCATCACCGAACACGCGTCGCCTTCAAATTGTCCAATCGTGGCGTCTTACCACGGTATTTGTTTTTGTCCAGTCCACAGAGACCTAAAACCCCACAACATTCTGGTCTCCATGCCCAATGCGCACGGCCGGGTCCGGGCTATGATTTCTGACTTTGGTTTGTGTAAGAAGCTCGCGGTGGGGCGCCACAGTTTCAGCAGGAGGTCGGGGGTCCCGGGCACCGAGGGCTGGATAGCCCCCGAGGTTCTCAGTGAAGACTGCAAACACAACCCGGTGAGTTAGGTGTGGAGGCACAGCTCTGTTCAGCTGGCCCAGATGGGACATTTTGAAGTGGAAGCTTCACACTCTGTTGTTGTATCGTGTCACGTTGTATTAATGAAGACGCTTCTGTCCTGTCCATCACAGACTTGCGCCGTTGATATCTTCTCTGCCGGTTGTGTTTTCTACTACGTGGTGTCCCAAGGAAGCCACCCCTTTGGCAAGTCTCTGCAGAGGCAAGCAAACATCCTACTGGGCACATACAGCCTTGACCATCTGCAAAGTGACCAGCATGGTACGATTTTAAAATATGCATTTTTCATGTAGATTAGGAGTTTATTAAATCCTAAATAAGTACATTTTTTATATTTAAAACTCGTTTAGAAGGTTTTTGATTTGCATAAAGGAAGAAATAGGTTGTAAAAGTTTATTTTTTCAGAGACTTTTGTTTTTAATTCATAATCATTGACTCGTACAGAAAGACACACAAAATTACAACATCTTGATGTTACTGGCTTTGTTTTTCTGCTTGGTACTTTTTCTTTTAATCAAAGTTCAAAAGCACATGATCAAAAGCTACAATTGTCTTTCTTTATCAGGGGACATTGTTGCCAGAGATCTGATAGAGCAGATGCTGAGCATGGATCCCCACAGAAGGCCTTCAGCTGAAAGTGTTCTCAAACACCCTTTCTTCTGGAGTCTGGAGAAGGAGCTGCAGTTCTTTCAAGTAGGTCCCTCTTCCACTTTCACTGTCATAACAGGATTATGCACATTTTATAATCTGCTTGTATAATCAGTAAATAAGCAAGCAACAATGAATTTGCATGCAAATTGCTTTAATAAAGTTAGGAAATGCTGTTCCATACAGGCATAGAGATACAGATGCAGAATGAAATCCCTGTCCAGTTTTATAAATCTATTAATATTTTTTGCCTGTTTATGCGCTGATTTTGCTCAAACTGCATTTTGTGGTTTTTTGCAGGATGTGAGTGACAGAATAGAAAAGGAACCGCTCGACGGACCAATTGTGAGACAGCTAGAGAGAGGGGGAAGGGCTGTTGTCAAGGGTGATTGGAGAGAGCACATCACCGTACCACTGCAGACAGGTAAGGCGACGTTTGCAGTCAATTCTGTATCCTGCCACCGGATGAAATGGCTGCACCTCTTTTTGTAGACCTTTAACTTCCTGCCAGCTGTGCTACACACCAGTTTTACCTCGTGCGCAGATTTACAGTGGACTAAACGGTTAATGACATTGATCAGTAAATCATGATGTAGCCAGAGACGGCAACTGAAGGATGAGTTTGGCCAGGTGTTGCATAACCATGTAATAAGTTCATACAAAGTCATGTTTGGGCATTCAAATTGATTTGGAATCAGTCAATGATTTTACTTCCAGTCGGTCATTATTGAATTCCTAATGTATAAGACCAGACTAACTTAAAGAAACAACCACTATCTTTTAATATTTTGGTTATTTTTAACATGGATCATCCGTTATCATCCTGGTTATTCTGTATTTTTAATTTACAACACTATGATGAAGGATTCAGGTTTCATCTTTCTCCATCTTTGCAGATCTGCGGAAATTCCGCTCCTACAAAGGTGGCTCCGCCAGAGACCTGCTGCGTGCAATGAGAAACAAGGCAAGAGTGTATTGTCATATAATAGTCTGTGTTCCAATGAGCTGGTCCCATACCTAAACACTTACACCTGACCTTCCTTCCACAGAAACACCATTACAGAGAGTTACCTGCTGAGGTGCAGGAGACTCTTGGCTCCATCCCGGATGACTTTGTTTCCTACTTCACGTCCCGTTTCCCTCACCTGCTGATGCACACCTACCTGGCCATGCGGACCTGTGCAGCTGAGAGGCCTTTCCTGCCTTATTACTCGGCTGCAGCACAGCTCTCTAAAACCCAGTCCCAGTGTGCACACAATGGACCACAAAGACTAAATGAGCCATGCACTCAGCCCCTGCCAATGCACTCTTCACTACCGTCCTCACAGCCCGAGGAACCCTCGCACACAACGCCGTCCCTGCAGGTCAGCCAGACAGCAGCCGCTGAACCGGAGCCGTCATGGCCAGATGAGCCGGCACCTTCACAGACAGAGCAGCCCTCAGAACCGCCGCCGCCCACATTGACTGACTTGAGCCTCCCGAATGGCTTGAGCCTCACCGCTCCGGGAGACGGTCCCACGACGAACAATGAAAGGTGCGAACTGAACCTCACTCGGGTGGAGCCAGCACAGATGGGAGCTTTGCCTTAAACAGTGGGAAATTAAGTTGGTGTCATTTGCAGTGCCCTGAGCTGCTGAGGAACCAGGCCTGCAGCGCCTGGGCTCCACAGCCCGGTGCACTGAGCGAAGTGCCTTCTGACCACCCAAATCATGTGATCTACAACACAATTATGTCCACAAGCGGCATTTTGCCAGAAAGCTGTCACAGGGATGTTTCTATTTTTTTTTTGTACTGAGCAGATAAAATGCTTTTAATTCTATTACAATCCGTTCAAAGGAAGTGTTGGTGCAACAAAAAATCTGGTCTCTGCTGTGGGAAAAGTTTCCAGGTGTGGTGGAACTCTTTTGCTGTTTTATTGTGCAATGATGTGTATTCCTCAGCGAGTCTGTTTGCTGCACACACACTGTATGTATAGTTTTGTATAGACTGGTTCCAAATTTAAAACATAAATCACTTAATGTGGCCAGTGTGCCTTCTTTTTTTTTTATTTAAAGAAAATATCACTGTGCTGCTTGGTTAAAAATCTCTGAAATAGGCAATGCTTGATGTGTTTGATTCCAGTAAATGCTGCTAGACTACTTTCTTCTCTTTTGTAAATCAAAACTGTTGTGCTGACTCAGTGAGAGAGGACTGCTCCAAAGGGTGTTCAGGGTGGCATCTGAATGCAGTAAGTAATTTAATCTTTTATGTTTATGTCGTCCAATATGAGTTTCAGGTGAAAGAGTGCTCATGTAAACTTTTTAAAGGGTGTCAAAGTGAAGTTAATGACTTGCACATTAAATTCTATTTTTTTTCTACTCATAATTTGTGTGTGGGTTTGATCTGTTATATCTAATGATGAAGTATGAGGAAAAAATGGAATGTTTCACTACATTCATATTCCACATTGATTTAATAACCTTTTGTCACCAAGGCTGCTCTAACCCTAGCTCTAGCTCTAGGACGTCTATTTTTTCATTGTAGATGGTTATTTCTTCTGTTTCATTTTAAGGAGAGTCTTAATATAATTTAACAATCTAAAACTATTGGCAGAACCTTCCACTCATACAAATTCCTCATAACAGATGTGAAGAGGAGCAGAGAGTAGTGTTAGAATTGGGCTATAATTACTTACTTTAGCATAACATGCTATAACTTAATCCATGTAAATGACTGATTGTATTATTCCTTTTAGATTCATATTATTCTATTTATATTTCTATTTTTGGGTTAAACTCTCTGGCTGTGCCTCCTCATCCCCATCTCTCTGTTACAATAGATAGGCCTACACGTCTTCAAGGTCAACACACACACACACACATTTTCTTATCACATTCCCACGAAACCTGCATGAACAAAGAGCCTCTGGCCTGATCATGACCAAACTAACTGGCCAATGATGCTCGGCTACGCCCAACCGTCTTCCCCCTTCGAGGCCCGGCCCAGAGGATAACTACCCATTGCATCCGGGAATCGAGGCTCTTGCCAACTGAGATCCTCCGGGAACTTTGTCTGTGAGAGCCCAGCGCTGATATACTTTGCTTGTGACCAATAAATGTCATATTTGTACTCTTGATCTACTCTGGTTTATTCTCAGGCTTCCAACTAAAGAACCGAATCTATCAGTAGTGTCTGGTTCAGTGGACACCCCAAAGTGAAGGAACATGACTAAAACGAGGCATTTAGTCCTTTGATTATCAGACTGGAACAATAAAAGGGGGGTGTCTGTTTGGTGCGGCTCAGGGTTGGATGCCTGGCTTCCGTAGCGGGAATGATCTGGAAGAGTTCTGGCATTCATTTCCTCAAAAACGAAACTGTCGTGTCCGGGAGTCCACGGTGCGCGCGCGCAGCCCGACGTGCCCGCCAGCGCGAGCCCGCCTGCCTGCAGGGTAAAGATAAGTCATACGCGATCACCCCCATACGCAGAGATCCCAACACCGCACAGACATCCCAACGGGCTCTCTCTCCTGAGAGGTAAGGACCGCGATCGTCGTACCGTAGCTACTAAAATGTCTTCTGTTAGTTTTTTCCCCACACTCCCTCACCCTCCCCGCTAGTCGCCATGTCTGTTAATTTTCGTCTGGGGTTAGCAACTTAAAAAGTACGTGTAGTGTATGAAAACAACGGCAGGTATGATAGCAGTGCTGGTTCGATCGTGGCCAGATAATGTGGAATTTGGTGTCTTTTGGACAGGCGATCAGGTGATGTCATGCCCGCCCTGTTTCCCGTCTTGTTTTCTCACAGGCAACTTCAGTCGTAGTAGCCTATTTAATTGTGATCTTTTTGTGGTCCGTGGGGAACTATTAAGGCAGATAACTTCAATTAAACTCACATGATTTGATTTCTTTGTCTTTTCCCTCTTGTAATGGCTATTTTATTCTTTTATAAAGCGTATGGGCAATAAATCGAGAAGAGAGCTTCTTTTCTAGGACGTGTTTGGTCCTGGAACACCTCACATCTCAGGTTACTGCTCAGCAGCAAGGCCTGAGCAGGTGGAAAATCTGTCATTTGCACTGAGAGATATTTTCAGGCCTAGGTGCCAGAAGCCAAGCTACAGTGCTATGTAATACCACTTGATATCTGAAATACAAGTGATCAAGTTCAAAACAAGCTTTTAGACTTTTATTATGTGATTCCCTTCAACATGCAAAGATAACTGATGGGCTCCTGCAGATCTTTGAAAGAACTGTAAAGGGAAGGAAATAAGATGGCCACACACAAATTAAGCAGCTTCAAGGAGATGTAGACCTCTCAGTCTGATATTTCCAAGTTGAGAATTTTTAAAACAAACTGACCAACATCACAAAACAAACTAAAAAGATGTCATTGGTTTTTGTTAGACCTTTGTATACACTTTACACACTTTTTGGTACACTTTATCCATCTCTGTTTATAATCTGAGTTTTGGTATATGTTCATGTATTAATCTTACCCCTCCGTTGTGTTCTTGCACACAGACATAATTGGCTGCATGGCCAGCTGACTTCCACAGAAGATAGACGACAAAAACGGGGAAAAACAATGCGAGAGTTTGGAACTCATCAGGTGACCAAACACATTACTTAGTTGTGAAGCGCAGGGATGAAAGTCCCTCCTCCTGTCCAGCAGGTGTCAGAAGTTTCCCTGCCTCAACACAACTGATCCGCGTCAGCGCGCCGTTATCAGACTTCTGCAGAGCCTTTGAACTGATCCACCTTTATCAGAATCATATGTGTGGAAGCAGGGAAACTTCTAAAACCTGCAGAACGGCGGCCCTCAAGGACCGGAGATGGACACCCCTGATTTAAACTGATTAAGCATCTGTTGTAATGAACTGTTGTCAAATACATACAATGACAGAGGATCACTTGTACAAACAAATATCTGATAATGGGGGCTTACATACATCTCATTCTTTAAGTAAAGAGAAGTTGATGATGCTGAATAGCTGTGTCTGGTCAAATTAAGTGTTGATATCAGAAAAATGAGTGTATTAGTGAACCATCTGACATAGTTGTGAGCCTTAAAACAATCTCTGCTATTGTCATTGGCCTAATTTTACTAAGACAGTGACCATTAGCTTCCATTATCAGTTTTACATAAGGTTTGACCATTTAAGTGAGGTTACCAAACTATAGACAACTTAATTTAACTGTGCTGTGCTTCCTTCTGCAGATCAAAGGTGATGGTAAATAAATGGAATCATTGGTAATGTGGTGAAAGAAGCAAAAGAAATCATGTGTGAGTTTATCTTCCACCGCCAGCTTCATTTTAATGGGTTCCTCACATTTGCCTAGAGTGCAAACAAAATGTGGTTTAATAGTTTATTTGCTTTTTATCACAGGGGTAACTTACATCTTCAATAAACAGTTAATAATACTATGTATCTACTTCATTGTTAAATTGTGTAAATCTGTAAATATTAAGGAGGAATCTGTCAGTTTGGGGTGGTTGGCATTTACAGGCCAGTGTTTTCACAAAATAAATTGAAATGATGGAATACTGTCCAATTATTATGCAACCAAAAAATACTTCTTCTACTTAGACATTTCTTTTGTTTTTATTCTCACTTTTCAGCAAACAAACAAGAGAAGTTGCCCAAGGACTGGACAGAGTCTGAAGTAAGTGACTGGCTTCAATCGATTGGAGTGAAGGAGCAGTACATAACAAAACTCCATGAAGAAGAAGTAGATGGACAAACCCTCCTTACGTTGAATGAGGCTTTTTTAAAAACTGAGATTGGTATGAAATCAGGGCCTGCTCACTTGATTATTCAAAAAAGAGATGAGCTTCTTAGATCCCTACAAAAAGGCCAGCTGGACAAGAAACCTGTTGGTGGCAAAAAACCTGAGTCTGAGCCAAAGAACATTCAGAGTTTAGCTCAGGCTCTTCCACAAAAAAGTGGAGGCCCTTCAGCACAAGCTCTTGAGAGGGAACAAGATGTTTTTGAGGAGAAACAGGCTTCACAGAGGCAATGGATAGTGGCTTCAAAGCAGGACTGCAAACTCCGACCATTTGATGAAGAAGGGATTGATTTCATATATGTAAAGCACAGAGTATTGCAACCTGAATCAGGTGCCTTCAATCTGACGTCTCCTTGTCATGAATATAAGTCTTTTGCTTTGGCTGCTACATTGGAACGCGCAAAACTTCAAGCTAAATTTGCCAAAGAGGTTCTTAAATTTGCAACTGGCTGTATGAACATCAGATCTAATGGCACAATACACTTTGGTGTGATGGACAGCAAAGAGGATGCAGGTTATGTGCACGGTGAAATAATCGGGATCCCCATAGGAGAGAAGGACATTTATGTGGATGCTTTGGACTACATTGAAAGAAGCTTCTCTTCTGACAAAGAACATGTACGCCAGTGTGTGCGACCACCCAGGTTCATCGAGGTCATGGATGTAGAGGGTGCAGAAAAGAGATATGTGGTAGAAGTAGACGTTGTGCCTTTAATACGTATTGTTAAGAGCAAGGTATATGCAGTCCGTCTGCCAAACTTCAAAGAGTCGGTTAACAAAGTAGAATTCGAGAAAGAAGTTATTCTACGTAGAGTGGGCTCAAAAACTGAACCAGTGAGTGACAAAGATTTGAGTGATTTCTACCAGCGAGTCAAAGATAGAGATGTTCAAAGAGAAGAAGCAGAGAAAAATCAGTTCCTTTATGCTCCCGAGATCTGCCATGACCTTGGGAGGAAGCTCACGATGCTGCTGACTAGTGGAAAGAAATTCATCGAAAAGGATAAATGGTTCATACTAGTCACAAACAAATTCAAACCAGATGACCTTTGCAACATTGACTGGCTGCTCAACATGAACGTGTTCTGCGTATTCGACTTTGACCCAGACTCCAAGATATCAGGTCTCTGCAGTAGATACCTTCAGCACCATGTTGCAAACATGCATTTTCTTCAAAACTACAGGATGTCCACTGGCATGACCATAAAAGATTTCACAAGCCACCTGCATTTGTTTGAGCAAACTAGCTGGATATTTTGTAATGGCCGCAGTGACTTTAAAGGGAATGAAACTCCTTGTGATGAAATGACATGGATCAAAACAAAAATGACTTTCCTACGGGAATCTGTGTCTTTGATCTGTAAACAAATCTTGCCAAAGGGTACTTTCCAAGTCATTTTCCTCCTCACCTCACCAGTCGAGAAACCTCTCTTGCATACCTTCTATGAGTTTTTTACAGACATGGAGGGCCATGACGACATCATCTGCATCTGTGAATCTGAGAAAAACTTTCAAAAGTGGCAAACCTTTGCAGAGGGTTCATGCAGCAAGGAAACTGTGAACAATTCCAGTGTTGTTGGTATGAAAATGAGCCATGTTAATGCAACTCTGCAGCATGTGCAACCTGTAAATGTTTGTTCCAACAAGCATCTGCCGGTCTTTGTGAAAGGCACCTGTCTTCTTGAAACACAGATAGAGGAACAGATGTATTCCCTGGAAATTCTGACAGTCGACCATTGTGATGAAACAAGTAAAGACTTCATCAATGAGGAGAAAGAAAACATTGAGCGGCAGTTCTACCGCGGTGGGAGAGTGACCTGGTTGAATTTCTGGCTTGCTGAGCGTAAGTATGTCGAAGAGGTGATTGAACGGGATGCTTATCATGAAACGTCCAAACTTCTCAACGATGCTTTGAAATTCAATGCTGATCAAACCCCAGTGAATAGCATAAACATCTACCATCACCCTGGTAGTGGCGGAAGCACAGTGGCAAGACAGGTGCTGTGGAACAACAGGAAAGATCTACGATGTGCACTCGTGAAGCTGTCATACCCATCCTCTGTTGTTGCACAACATGCAGTAGAACTAAGAGAATATGAAGAAAAAGATCCACAGAAGTGTCTCCCTGTGCTTCTCCTCATTGAAGACACAGATAAAGAATATCTAGATGACCTCAGGAATGAGCTGGAGGTCGCCGTAAACAGCAAACGGATTCAATATGGAACCTTGTGTTTCATTTTGTTGAGCTGCAGGCGCTCCCACGATCCAGAGAGGAAGTGCAAGGAATCCCCATTACAGAATGTGTCAGTCACCCACAAACTCTCCAGCCAAGAGAAGAGGAAGTTTGCTGGGAAACGGCAGGCGCTTGAGGAAAGATATGAGCCCAATTTCATTCTGACTTTTGTTTTGATGAGTGAAGGATTCTCTGATGATTACATCCAAGACTTTGTGAAACATCTGCTTCAGGACATTGACCGACACTCTGTTGTCACACGTCTCATTCATTATGTTGCATTGCTGAACACGTATGTTCAGAACTCTTTCATTTCTCAGTCCCATTGTGAAGCTCTGCTTGCCTTAACCATCCACTTGGAGAGATTTCGTCAGCATGAGTTTGAGAGATCCCTCAGCGATCAGGCCAAACTTGTCTTCTTGCATCTGAGAGATGATAAGACACACATCGAATCAGTGAGGATCATCCATCCACTTGTTGCAAAAGAAATTCTTCTACAACTTCTTGGAGGCCAAAGAACCCAGAGCAAGCTGGCGATGGATTTGCTCTGCGAGGATGTGCTTTTTGAGCACCGTTTTGGGAAGGAGGAGTATCTGACTTTTTTGAAGCAGCTCTTCATAAGACGGGCCAGAATAAGCAAAGGAGATGAATATGATAGTTTCTTCTCGCCTCTGGTTGAGCATGTGTGTGAGAATGAGAAAAGCCCACACAAAGCAATTGAATTACTCAAGGAAGCATTCCAACGATTCCAACAAAATCCGTTCTTTGCACAGCAGCTCGCCCGTCTTCATTATACATATGAAAAGTTTGAAGAAGCAAAACACTGGGCAGAGACAGCAGCTAAACAGCTGCCCAACAACTCTTATATCCTTGACACAAAGGGTCAAGTGTACAGAAAATGGTTCCAAGCCAAATGCAAAGCTATTGAAAATGACAATATACCAAAGAATGCCCAGAATACAGCAGATGCTGTTGAGACTGCCCTGAAGGCCCTTGAGTGCTTTCAAGAATGTGAACGTGCAACTGACGCTGACATGGAAGACGTTAACAGTTCGGGGTTCTTTTCTGAAGTAGAGGTGGGATGCAGCCTGCTCAAACTCATGTCCTCACTGCAGGTGTTTGAGTGCAAAACCAATGGCCATTCAGAATGTATGAAGTACCTGCTAACAGATTATATTCCTGAAGAACTTGAAGTTGCCTGGGAAGCATTTCATGGTCGATTGAAAAAACTTCACAAGACAATGCAAGATGCTCTAGAATGGATTTCGGAAGATCTCAGTTACTTCCAGACAGATATTGGCACAGAGGAGGAAGAGATTCCTGAAAGTCCTGAAGAAAAGATAAGCCATCCGCTCAAATGGTTGGCAAAAAAATCTTCTGAGTATGGGAAATACTTCAGTGAAGCAGATTCTGCTGCACTTATGAAACATGGGCAATCAACCCCAGCAAAACTAACTCCATTCCAAAAACGCATGATTATCTATCATCTTGGAGGAGGTAACATAATATCCATCCTCTCAAAGCTAACTGACCAAAACGATGCAGTGCGTCGTTTGGAGCATATCCTTACACTCTACCCCAGCGACCCATTAAGAGCCAAGTTTGGTCAAAGGGATATTGTCAATTACATTACAGCCCACATCTCTCTCAACTGCCTGTCGCCACAAACTCAGAAAGTAGCTCCTCTTAGAGAGTTACAGGCTCTTTGTCGCCAATTCCCACCTGATAAAAGGAAATGCTTGCCATCTGCTCTTTTCTTGCAATCTCTGCTGTTCTGGCCAGAAGATGATGACACTGACCATGAAAGAGAAAGCAAGTATGAAATAGTCCAGTCAGCAGTTGAGAACCTGGAAAAAGGCTACAGGACCAAGATGAAAGACATTCCTCAGCGAAAGAGAAGGATTTACACTCATTTCCTCCTGGGAAATGGGAATGGATTGGACAAATTTGTCCACAAGAGGAACTTTGACAATATCACTAAAGGCTTCTCCATCACCGAGAGACGCATGAAGTGGTTTAGTGGTGAGGCATGGAAAAGTCCTGAGATTGCCAAGATGCTAAAACGTGTTTCTGGATGGACTGAGGATGGAGTCGTGTACTTTGAAGGCCCTAAGAAAAAGAAGTTTAATATCTTGCCACTTTTTGTACCTTCAGTGCCACATAGCAATGAAAACATCACCTTCTACCTGGGATTCACCTTCAGAGGCCCTGTTGCTTATAACATTCTTGTGAAAAAATAGTTTGTTTTTGAATGATGGCTGTATTTTAACTTGATGAAACAATGGGCCAAATATCCATGTTATTGCCTAGAACAAGATGAGTCTATGAACATCTGTCAAAAACAGAAGTTATTGATTTTGTTGGTGAAACACCTATGTTGAAAAGTTTACGTACAAAGTGTACTGCATATGAATATATTCTTTGTAAGTTGTAAAATGATTCAACATGTACTTTTTTCACTTTTTGTTTTTTGTATTTGCAAATGTTCTCAATGCATTTATTGAACAATGAAATATCAATGCACAAGTGAGACATTTTTTGGTATACAGAATTAACACCTGCATACACTCCTGGAAAAACTATCAAGTCAGTCTTTGCATACACTTTGCTTTAATCTTTTTCTGATGAATTATAAAGTTCCTCAAACATGTATGTTTTTAAAAGAATGCTATATGTGTAACAGTATTACTGGAATAAATATCTTGGATTTAACACAAACTGAAATACGTTTAATAAATTGTGTAGATTGAAAATGGTGTATTTATTATTTCAATAAATTTTTCTCATAGATAAAGACATTACTTGGCAACACTTCTCTAATCACATCCCCTTAAATGTGAACATACAAAATGTAAAAAGATTTTAATGTAATTTTTCATGTGACTGAAAAGGGGTCTAAGTAGGTTTGAGCATTTTTGTCCCATTATGCTTGCCCTAGTGTTTACATTAGCATGAATGCTGCTACCACGAGTTCATCACCTGTTACGTCTTCGATATCTTTGTTATTGCTTATGTTAATATCACATTCATTGTAGAAATGAATGTTATTTTAACATAAGCAGTAACATGCACTTGTACTACTTTTACTCTCATATTTATTTTCTCTGTTCGTAATTTGATTTTAGTTAGCAGCTAACAGCTCCGACTGAGGTAGTTCACAGTTGACCAAAGCCTCTGCAACTCATATGATTTTTTTATTTTATAAAGAGCACAGGGAGGGCCTTTTGTATTCATGGGATGGCTCTGTTGTCTGAGTTAGCTGTCACTGTGCTCCTCGCCTTGTCTTTGTTGGCATGCTTGTACAGCCACCACCTTACAAGCTTTCAATCCAGACTGGTCAGATCAGTCCAAGACAATCACAATGGACGAACAGCACGTGACCGTCATATTTTTAATATATCAAAACCACACAACAGGTCAAGGAGTGGTTTCCACTCAGAGAACCTCCAAAACTCCACTGTTTTCAGAGAAAGTGGATGCACCGTGGACCCGGAGAGTAGATTTGACTGTGGCAGGGACAGACTTCTGAGCCGGGGGGAGTGTGAGGAGAGGGGATGCTGCTACTCACCTCTGACCGGCTCTGCAGGGCCACCCTGGTGCTTTTACCCCCGTTTGTATCCCGGGTACAAAATGGGCCCCCTCACTCCCAGCAGGCGGGGACAGGCTGCCACCTTGACTAGAGCTAGCCCGTCCTACCTCCCAAAAGACATCTCCACTCTGAGGCTAGAAGTCACAGAGGAGGCTCCCAGCTGCTTGCACTTGTCTGTGAGTACTTTAAGCTGGATGTGCATGTGATGAAAAAAAAGCTTTTTTTTTATCATGATCCATTTTGAAAGATTAATGTAGTTTTACAGCTAAAGCTATATCAATTGCTGAGGTTAATAAATGTATATATTTTACATGAGTCACATTTTCTTCTAATGTCTCAATAATGGCTGTATGAAGAAGGTCTATACTTGTAATAGAACATGTTATGATTTGCTTTTTTTCTTAGGCGTTTCTTTTTTGTGTTTCTGCATGCTGTGTGTTCTTAATGTTTTTTTCTCCTCACACTCACGTGAGTTTCCTCTCAAGTTAAAGGACCCATCCTCTCAGCGGTATGAAGTTCAGCTCCCGGCTGGCGTTTTTCAGGGCAGCACTGATATCCAGGATGTCCTCTATACCACTGAATTCCAGTCAGAGCCATTTGGTTTCATCGTGAGAAGAAAAAGCAATCAAAGAGTGATGTTAGTAATTTTGTTTCAATAGAATTTAATAATAGAAGTCATGGGTCACCATTCCAACATCTGTCTGGTAGATTGCTCTGGCTCTACTAATAGTCATCTTTACAATAAAATAGCAACTGATTTGACTCATTGTTTGTTTGCTGTGAACAGCATGAACACTACAGTCGCTCCCCTTCTCTTTGCTGACCAGTACCTCCAGCTGTCCACCACCTTGGCGTCCTCCCTTGTGTCAGGCCTCGGGGAACATTATACATCCCTCCTTCTGGACCTCAATTGGACCTCTCTGACTCTGTGGAACAGAGACATGGCACCTCATGTGAGTCGCTGCGCTGACTAAAACAGTAAGGATTGCTTTCTAAAGGACATATATCTGAATCCACCTACACAGAGATAAAAAAAAAATGTTCCTTTCCAATAAGTAGCACGTCACAGTGCACTTTGAAATAGTTGGACTGATACATTTAATGTATGCTGTGCCGGCACAATTGTTTTTATCAACCTTTTTCTTTTTCCTACAGGCTAATGCTAACCTCTATGGCTCCCATCCCTTTTATATAGTACAGGAGGGAGACAGCTTGGCACATGGAGTTTTCCTTCTCAATAGCAATGCAATGGGTATGACTCCAAGCCTAACACAGCATCCATTTGACATTTTTTGTCATTGCTCTCCATTGAAGTCAGGACGTACTATGTGACATTTTACGAGATTACTGGTGTATATTTAACTGCATGCATATTTAATCAGAGAGGATACTTCTAATTCCAAATTGTTTTTGTTAATTGTAGAAGTCACACTGCAGCCTACCCCAGCTCTCACCTGGGTTTCCACCGGTGGAATCCTGGATATGTACGTTTTCCTGGGTCCCGACCCCCAAAGTGTTATACGGCAATACCTCCAGATCATTGGTATGTCTTTGATGGGAGTAACATTTAGACATTCTTCTTAAGTACAATGAAAGAAAAGCGTTCACGCTTGAAGAGGTGTTCAAATTTTGTTGTGTTTTTTTATGCTTTAGACTTATCACTATTCTATTCCAAGGGTATCCCATGATGCCTCCCTACTGGTCCCTGGGCTTTCATCTCTGTCGCTGGGGCTACACAACCACAAATGCAACTCGGAAGGTTGCACATCACATGCACAGTGCCAACTTTCCAATGGTAAATTAAGTGTATGTACATTTTCACTATATACAGGAAAATTGTGATTTTATATAGATTAAAATGCCTATTGGTTTGAAGGTATGTGTTTGTGCCATATTTATGTGATAAAATACACACAAAACATAGAATTTGAATATTTCCTTAATGTGCAATGATTGTGTTCATTCTCAGTTTTGAGTTGATTTCCCATAAACACTTGTTGTTAACCATGTTTATGTCTTTACTTTCTGATCACTAGGATGTCCAATGGAATGACTTGGATTACGCAAACAAGCGGCGGGTGTTCACCTTTGACCCCATCCGATTTGGAGACCTGCCGGAGATGGTGGAGGAGTTTCATCAAGAAGGCATGAAGTACATCCTTATTCTGGTGTGACATCTCTGCGTTCAAAAAATATATTAAAGTTTGGTCAATTATTTGTTCATGTAGTGGCTATTAACCACCTTTTTCCAGTAGATGGCAGTAAAAATGTCTTATGGAGAGGCTGAAGTGCTGTCATTCTGTTTGTGCTGCAGGACCCAGGGATCAGCAGCACCAGCCCCCCTGGAACCTACCTTCCCTTTGAGGATGGACTGAAACGGGATGTTTTTATTAAAAATGTTACAGGAGGCATTCTAATGGGGAAGGTAATACCTATTCATTTCCATGGGGGGGTGTATATTTCTGTTCTTTTGTGAGGTGTGTGAGGTGTGTGCGGTGTGTGCGGACCTTGACTCGCTCTGGGTTTGGTTGTGCTGCTTAAGGCCCGTTCTGTGTGCACAGGTCTGGCCTGGCCCAACGGCTTTTCCCGATTTCACAAACCCAGAGACCCGGCAGTGGTGGGAGGATTGCATCAGAGATTTTTATCACAAAGTACCTGTGGATGGTCTGTGGATTGTAAGTGTGTACGCGCAAACACACACACACAGGATACAGGTCATTCGGCCACATTACATGTAAAAAAAATGTTTTTTCATCTGAATTTTATTTCTTTGCGTATGTTAATCTGGAAAATAGCTGGAACCTAAACTGTTAACTTTCCTCATATTCCATTCAGGATATGAATGAACCAGCCAGTTTTGTCCAGGGTTCAACTCAGGGTTGTCCCGATAGTGATCTTGAGAACCCGCCATACACGCCTGGTAAGAGAGTTTGATCAGGCACACACAGTGAATGCCAGAGGCCTGTGTTCATGTGAGTTTCTCTGAATGTCCTCGGCAGTGGTGGTTGGAGGCCAGTTAAACTCCGGAACTCTGTGTATGTCGGCTCAACAGAAGCTGTCCACTCACTACAACCTGCACAATCTCTACGGGCTGACTGAAGCTTATGCAACACACAGGTTAGGCCACAAAATTAAACTCAGAGTCAGGCTTTTGATGCCTGCTGGCTAGCAAATCAAAAAGCATTTTTAAGATAGTTACATGTAATAGTTTTTTTTTCCTGTACATTCATCCTGCTCCTGATGGTGGCAACCTTAGTGCCCTCAGGAATATACATGGGAAGAGACCGTTTGTCTTGTCTCGCTCCTCCTTTCCCGGAATTGGACGTTTCTCCGGAGTGTGGACAGGAGATGTCAGGAGTGACTGGGAGCAGCTTCGATTCTCCATTCCCGGTGAGCAAATCCAACATGGAGGGTCATTATGCTTTTTTTGCTGTGATGGTTAAACATTTCCATACAAACATACGCTCGGTAGAATAACACATGCACGCATATAGAGGGGCCTCTGGTGTCTCTGCTCCCCAGCGGTGCTACAGTTCAGCCTGTTCGGGGTGCCGCTGGCCGGAGCCGACATCTGTGGCTTCGGAGGCAACACCAGTGAGGAGCTGTGTGTGCGCTGGATGCAGCTTGGCGCCTTCTACCCATTTATGAGAAACCACAATGACAGACCGAATGCTGTGAGACACCGTTTATGTAGCGCACCCTATGTTTAGATATCCTTTGAAAGTCCACGTGTTTCATTGTGTCTATTCAAATGCACATTTGTGCTAAATTCTTTTTAAAAAAAATTTTATCTCATGGTTTTAGGATGACCTGTGTGTACAGTAGAGCAGGTCCTCAGTTTCACTTGATGTAAACAGAGTAACCTCCTTCTACTCTCCTTATCTTTTTATTTTCTTGTCCATCAGCCTCAGGAGCCCTTTGTGTTTGGGCAGAAGGCCCAGGAAGCCATGCGCAGTGCGCTGAACCTTCGCTACTCCCTTCTCCCATTCCTCTACACACTCTTCCATCATGCGCACGTTTACGCTGACACTGTTGCCAGGCCTCTGTTCATGGAGTATGTCACCTCCTTTCCCCTACTGTCCATAGCAATTTCTTCCCTTATGTAACCAATAAATAAAGCAATCCAAGCATCACACTTCATTATTTATCCTTTTCCCTGCTCTGTACTTTCATCACTTCCAGGTTTCCGTCTGATCCACACTGTCAGACCATAGACCAACAGTTCCTATGGGGGGGGTCACTTCTCATCAGTCCGGTTTTAGCGCAGGGGGCACTAGAAGTAAATGCATACTTTCCAGCTGGCACCTGGTACAGCCTGGACAATGTAAGTCAACACAAACTGTTTTCACCCACCCATGAATTCCACCATGTTTGGGGAGGCCGTTTTCCACACGTCATAAATGTTCACTAGTGCCCCCATTTGTTCTCTACACAGGGTCAGCCTCTCTACAGTAAAGGTCAGTACCTGCTCCTGCCAGCCACACTGGACACTATCAACGTCCATGTGAGAGGGGGACATATTATTCCCCAACAGGTGAGTGTGAGAGTTATTTTTGGTGCACTATGAGGTCATGTAATACATTGAAATTTTTCGTTTGATGCATCAGATGTTGTGTTATGCTTAAAGTCTCAAGCCAATCTTGATAAAGTTGAATACACTGACTTTACATCATTATTTCTTTCTTTAATCTTCCTTTCATATAAAGGAGCCCGCTTTGACAACCACAGCCTCGCGCAGAAAGCCTTTCTCCCTGACCGTGGCACTGTCAGAAGCGGGCAGTGCCTCAGGTGACCTGTTCTGGGATGATGGGGACAGTCTGGACACCTTTGAAATGCAGAATTTTTGCTACATCATCTTCATTGCCGAACAGGTGAGAAAGAGATGAGAGAGGTTGACATTAGGATTGGTGCTCAGGCAATGCTTTGCTATTAGCTGTATTCCTACATTCAAAAGTAATGCTGACGGATTTTTCTTGATGTATTTAATGTAGATAGGAATGATGCATGCATCACTTGTTCCTTACCCTCTCGGTCACTGCTTCAGTCTCAGATCGTCAGTGACCCTGTGAGGCTGAACGGAGCCCTGGATGCTTTGGTGCTGGAGAGGCTCCAGGTGTTTGGGGTACCCCTACCACCTCTCTATGTATTAGCCAATGGAAAGAAGGTCAAAGATTTCACATACCGCACTGATACTAAGGTGAGTGTGTGCTACTTTTATTGGTATTTGTCATCCATATATCTTGCATTCGCCTTTTTACTTATATCAATCAACCATAAATATATTTGATTTTTTCTTCCTATAGGTTCTGACAGTGACAAACCTGGCTTTACCCATGTCAAAGACATTTACTGTTCAGTGGGCTCTCTGATGCTTTTTTGGGGGGTTTTCCAGACTATGGGCCTTTGAGACGCTCTGCCTTCTGCACTGTTGCTGAAAAGATCTGCTTCATTTTCCTGCAGTGACACCAACAGATTTCTTTCAGTCATTGCAACTATTCCACAGCTCATCTAGTGCCCTCTGTCAGATAGACAGACTCTGTTACCAATTTTACAAAAACAGGGATATTTCAAGCAGATCTTAATGGCTTGTCCCCAGATCACTTTTTTTTCATAACTGATTGTTCACCGAGTTGGGTCAGTGAAATAGACTGTAAATGTGGATAAATGTATAATAGTTTTCAGTTTGATGTGTGATTTTTGAAAACGAGTGTCAACATAAATATGTATATATATTTGATTTGTTTTGATTGCTTTACTTACGCGCTGTGACCTCTATGAAATGTTACATTTAGTAATTTCAGTTCATCTTCTATAATATATTTTACAATCTATGTACAATCTAACTGGTTTGAGTCTTGAAAAAAATAATGTTTTATTGCTGCTGAAGTTAAATTAACATCTATACACAAGCTATATGTAGAATAAGAATAGTAACAATTTATTATAAATGCTTTGCTTACATTTTTCAATGTGAAATTATACATACAACAGAGATTTCAGGCAGGTTTTCAGATAGGCAGCAGTGTTCTGACTCCAGCTCTGGTCCTGCTGATGGACCAACTGCATCCCAGCCATCATCAACGACCTTTGCAACGTCACTTATGATGTAAAGGCTCAGCTTTGAAGGGTGTTAACATACGCAAAGGTTTGCATTTCTGCATGAGGTGATGCTCAGAGTACTACTGAGCTTTATGCATGAAATTTGTATTTCCTATATTTATTTATTCCCTAGTTAATGTTTGTGGAATAGAAGTAAAATCCATGACATGCCGGAAGTAGCTAGTTTCGGGTGGGGGGATAGGTCTGGAGCAGTGGAAGTCAAGTGATGGGAATGATCAAGAAATCTTAAAGATCTACAACGTGGTTCCCTTACAAATTAAAGCGTGGGCCCTTTAATCGCTCATGCCTGCCTCGCAACGGGTTTACTTTGAAAATTCAAACCGGAAGTGGGCGTTTATGCCGTAAAAACAGCGGCAGCCAGGCGTGCAGCGCTACTGACGAGAAACACAGATTAAAAACAACAGCAGAGTTTGTAACAAGCCGAGCCAAATCGCCGAGAAATCCCCCGAGAGGACGCCGCTTGTCGCTGCCCGGCCGCCGGGATGGTTGTCCGGAGTGGGCTGTAGACTCCTGCGGCGGGACTGAAGGTGAGAGCCCGGCGCCGTTTCCCCTCATCCTGCAAACCCCCTTTTTCATTCATTTTCCGCTGCTGGAACAGGTGCCAGCAATCAGGGAGACACATTTCTCCCGACTGACACCGTCACCGGGGAATCCAAACTTTAAAGGTGGTCATTGAACGCGGCCACTATTAAACCAAACCAGCGACTTCGCCCATTGGTCTTGGCAGCTGAACTGAAATATTCATGTTAGAGGTTGAACAGATGGAGTCCCCGCTCGGGGAAGTGTCCTACGGTAAATACTGGCACGGGCCTGTGTACACAGCCGTGTCCATCCCTCCGCTCCCTCTGTCCAGGCGGATGCTGGCCGTCCGGACGGATGACAGCTGGCGGCCCGCCTCTGCTGCACTGGACGCAGAGAGAGCCGCCGGGACTGTCCGGAGGGACGGGGCTTACCTTTAAGTGCAATGCAACATGCAATTTTAAACACACACACATATATATATGCCGCTGGAAAATGTGGAGCTCTTGCTGACCCCAAAGACAGGCTGAGGTCTGGGGGAAAGAAAAGGAGAAGACGAGTGAAATTGTTTTTTGTAGGCAAGCAACAAGCAACGGGTCAATTTATTTACATTTAAATGGACCTATACATGCATATATATATATATATATATATTCCAATCCAGACTTAAAAAGTGTTGTTTGTTGCATAAAAGTAAAATAAGTCAAACAACTACAACAAAGTCACTCGACTAAATGCATTAACTCACATCTGCAAATGTCCATATTTGCTTGTTTATTGTCTGTTCAGTCGTTCAAAAGTTCTAATTTATTATAAGTTGGCTGGGCCACAAACCTTGGCATAATCACTATCTTTCCCTGATCAAACCTCATAGCCCAGATATTTGTTCTTTGGTCATCATAGCACACAGTTTCAGTGGCTAAATTGTGCATGAAATCAATCTTTAGAGCACTTGGTGCATTACTTTATGAAGTATGGCTGAGATACAATTATTCCTGAACGTGTCTTCATATGTAACAAAGCCTCATTTGCCTTTGATGTTTCCACTAAATGACCCATAAAGTTTCCTCCCAACTATGGAAAGTCCGCAAAACCCTGTTTTCCAGGGTTCCTTGTTCTCGAGCTCCTTTCAGCTGCTTGGGACGTGTAAGTTCCCAGGACTTTATTCAAAGGAGAGGATTCAACATTGGCTCCTGCTCAGATGTCAGTCTGATGACTTAATTAATGTTGGCCAGAGGTCATCTCACAGCTGAACTCCAGAGCAGCTCAGTCTGCTTCGTCTGTCAGGTAGTTGGTCAAATGTAAAATGTTCTGTGGGTCACTGTGAGACTGGAGACAGAGTCTTGAACGGTGTTCATGGGTCATTTGATAAAACACGGAAAGGTCAGAGAGTCAGTGTGAGAGCACTCTGAGGTGTTGACAGTATAAAGGATGAAGAGGGAGGGAAGAAAAAGATAGAGAGAGCTTTCCTTTATCAGCAGAGTCTGAATATGAAACTGACCCGGCTCCCCTGCAATCACATGCAAACCAAAATAACCGCTGCACACAAGCACAGCAGGGAATGTGCTGTTGCTGCTGTGGCACCACTGCAAACAGAAATGGGCCATGTTTGACATCCAGGCCTTCCATTATGCGCACGAGAAGTCGGTGTGTGTGTGTCGGCGGAGACATCTCACAGGAATCCAGAGTATGCGGTTGTGGTATCCACGATTTCTGTCTTCCAACTGGATTTTTTTTTTTCTCGAATTTATCTGAAGCAGCTGTTAGTTTCAGCAACCAAAAGTGAGCAATAGTCTAATGTGCTGGTTTTGCTGAATAGAGAAAAACAAACCTTTTTTTTGCTTTATTTATTAGATGTATTAGATGTCAGACTAACTTGAGAGAAAGACAAATCCCAAGATATGCATTTCTTTTCTTTAATCGTAAAGAAGCAACAAACGGCTCATATTCTAAAAGTCAAACCTATTATTTTCCTCAGGTTGCCATATTGCTGGACCAAAATGGAAAATATGTCAGGTGTAAAGACCATTTTCAGTATGTTTTTGGATGATGCAAAGCCCACAGCTAAAGATGACTGGACTCTGGAAGAAACCAGAGACACATTTTCTCTGACATTTGTGCCTTATTTTAAATCATTTGTGAAAGTAAAAAACAGATCGTGGCCCATTGAGCTCCTCTCCGAGCTGGTGGCTGGATTTCATGCCAGCAGACTTCCTGTGTGAGGGCCTGGCAGCAGGAAGTGAGGTGGTGGCTTAATCAAGAGAAGGTAAACATGCCCCCTGAGGAAAAGGAGGGAACATTCCTGAGATAGAGTACGTGTCAATGCTCGGCCAACAAGAAAACAAGGTCACAGACATGGGTTTGTTCAAAAGGTAAAGGCACAAACAAAAGGCTTTGGGCCAAGAAAAGAAATGTGACCATTTGACTGAAGAAGAGGAGAAGGGAAAGCCTTGTTTTCTTTTGCTGTTAAAATTGGAGAGTCATAGATTCTCCTCAAGGCTTTGCAGACAAGAAAGTCTTCACTGTGCTGCAGCATCAAAAGGGTTCCTTGACTTGTAGCTTGATGTGCAGCTTGTTTCATCACACAAAGCTCTCTTTTTTTTTAAGTCTCTTGGTGAGTTAAACGGTGCTGATCTCAGTTCAGTGCTGACGTAGACGGCATCTGTTGGCTCCTGATAACCGTCTGGAATTTCACACCGATGGAGTAGTGAGTGTTTGCATAGTGCTTCCTATTGTGTGTGTACATGCGTCGGTTTGTTTCCAGGTTGTTTACCAAAGGTGGGAAATTCGTGGGTACACTCAGGCAAAGTACACACAGAAGCTGTAACTGTGTCAGTGGGCGCAGGTGCAGAGGCTCAGAGAAATGCTGAACAAGTCCGGGGAGTAGAGGGGATTGTGGGGTGGAGCGCTGCAGTAAGGACACTGCAGTAAATGGCACACATGTGACAGCGGAGGTGAAGTGTGGATCTGTGCAGGTTGACGGCATCGTTGGGTCAAATCTCCATCCTCAGACAAAAACCTTTGCCTCAGGATAACCGTCCCCTGACATCACTCTCCCACTTTTCATCCCAGCGCTTGTCACCCTCATACCATATCTGTCGCCTGCTGCCTAACATTCCCTTTTTTACTTCTCCACTCTCTCCCATGTTCAGAGGATGGGATCAGAGCCCCGGTGCCTGAGCAGATGTCTCTGGGTCGGCTTCTACGGCGTGCCTCCTCTAAGGCCTCCGACCTCCTGACCTTTAACCCCGGGGCGGGGGGCTCATCGTTGCGCTCGGGCCTGGATGGCGAGATCATCTTCTCCAAGAATAATGTTTGCGTGCACCCTGCGGAGCCCCTCCCAGGCCTGGCCGAGCACCACCCAGGTTCGTTGCACCTACACAGTTTCTTAACCGGACCATTCAGGCCAACTGGAACAACTTTCCCTTAAGCACTGTTACTTGACACTTGTATTGAGGTCAGGAATGACTGACTGTTTGCTGAAGTTTCTACTCCCCTAATTATGGCACCAGACACTAGCATGTTTGCAGTGTAGCTCTTGTGGTTTACGGAGCCTATCAGCAAATACCAGTTTACACTGCAACGGCCATGACATGCCTGCCAAGATCTACGACACTAAAACTGCTTGATTTAAAAAATAGAAAAAATTTAAAAAAGGTCTTTTGCTATTTCTTTCCATCCAAACAGTTTTACCCTAAGAATATTTGACACTTTAGTTTTTATAAAACTAAAAAATATTCAGTGTGCGGTCAGCCTTAATACGCATCAAAGGTCAGAGGTTACATCAACTATGAATGTGAAAATGCACAAATATTTCAGAATGAAAAGCACCACAGTCTCAAAGATGGCGTTGTAAATAACAAATTCTAAAATGTGGTAAAAATTGGCACATTTCTACAGACTGTTTGGATTTAGTACACATCTGTCTCCTTTCCCTTCAAACTGCTTAGGCAAGATTCCAAAGCAGCCTTTGGAACTCCTACTTTGTTTAATTTTCCAGTTTAATATTAAATCAGTTGTAAAAGTATCTTTTACTTGGTTTATAATTCTGTTTTAATAGATTTTCCAAAACGGCACTGTAAAGAAACAAGCTGAAACAACTTTCAGTGGAATTGAATTACGTATTGAGATACAACTCAGCAAAATAACAGGGGAATGTTCTAAAAAGAGCTAAATTAAAAGTAGAGAATAGATACATATAATAAAAAAAATAATCAAATAATCCCATATAATTTATTGGTAGGAAGCCTCTCTCATGTGCATATGTTTCTAGTTTGTAAAAAGTTACGAATGCATGTAAAAAATAGTTAGTGTGCGCATAAAGGGAGTCTAAAACTTGCTGTATGGTTGTTGTTGTCAGATGTTATACTCTCGCTAATACTGTTACATAAAATGCCATTTTTTCTTTGTCTTTTGTCTTATTGTTCTTGTAAAAGCTGTGTCACTTTTAAAGGGAGTTTTTAGAAGTTGGTAGTCTGAAATTCAACCGCATTTCCTTAATATCTCCTCTCTTATCTGCTGTGTCTCACGTTTATAACTCACCTTTCAGGTTTTCCTTCATGCCTCTTCATGAGCTTTTATCCTCTCAGATTACATCCGTGACTTGTAGTTTTTCCGCCCTCTGCATAAAAAAGTCGTGATTTCCTCCTGCCTTACCAAATTTTGGACTCCTCACCCAACAGTGCTTTTGTTGCCCCCTGCAGGCTACCTGTGTGTGCACGTGGAGAAGGACGAGAGTCTGGGAACCACTCTCATTCTGACATGGGTGCCTAATTCTCGCATCCAGAGGCAGGATGAGGAGGCCCTGCGCTACATCACCCCGGAGAGCTCCCCAGTGCGCCGGAACGCCCGCCGCAGGGGCCGGCGGTACGTGAGGGCGCCCCCCAGCCCTGTCCAGCGCCGCCTCTGGGTGCTTCAGGACAGTGGCTCACGCTGTGCCCGGTCATTTCTCCTCCAGGCCACATTCCCGCCCCCCGGCCGCCCAGGAGGAGGATGAAGATGAGGAGAGGAACATTAGCAGCAGCGCCTCCACGGAGAGCCCCGGCCTGCTGGTGGAGGCCGGGGCCGACCCCGCCCCCCCCCACCAGCAGCAGCAGCCGCCCTCCGCCGGGGAGGAGGCCGACGAGGGCTCCTGCGAGCTGTCCGACGAAGTGAGCCGGGACAGCACCATGGGTTCGGATTCAGACACCTTTTCCTCCCCCTTCTGCCTGTCCCCCGTCAGTGAGGCTCTGTGTGAGAGCAGCAGCTCCGTCTTCCTGGACAGTGAAAGCAGGTCAGTGGTCGGGCAAAACATTTTTTTAGAGAACTGTTTTTTTTTGTTTTTTTTTGTCCTTAACTTCTGACTTCGTCTCTTTGCTTGGTTCTTTTTTTTATCCCGCTGATATTTCTTTGGGGTTTGATTGAGCTCACCACTGATTTTCCGGCTAGAGCACTGACTCAGAGCCTGTACTTTCAAATAACAGAGCTGTTGAATCTGTCACAGAAATAAAAACTATTTACATCAAATCTTTTTTCTGATGGCACACTGTGAGCACTTATTAAAGCTACAATACAGACGAATAGATTGTTGTTCTTCAAGCCAGTGATAACCAGGCAAAGAAAATGGCGGTAATATTTACTTCCTCATGGAAACATTACCAGTGAAACTGTTGCTTGAACCCACTTCAATGTACTATGCCCCATCCTTATTTATTGAAAACCTGAGCTAAAAGCAAAATGGTTGATTTTAAATATCCCTTTTTTAAATATTTAATAAAAATCAAACTGAAAAATCAACTGACAAGTACATATATAAATACCTCTTTTATTATGCAAGATCCCAATTTACTCAGTTATTCTTATTAATGATCATATGTTACTTAAAAAAGACAGAGGGCGTGGTTGCATTTTCCAACATATCATCTGTGCAATCCACATTTTATTTTATTTAAAACATTTTCATGATGAGGACAGTAGAAATAAATATCTATCATTTTCATCTTCTGCTAATATGTAGAAGTCACTCCTCCTTTATCTAATTGAAACTGCAATGTTTTTCAATCCAAAGATCTATAAACATTATTAAATAACAGTTATTTTAACGTCTATATTGCTAATAAATGCTAATAATTTTCTGGGTGTCAGTTTATTAGAAAAGTTTTCACAATGTTTCAAAGTATTTCGTATGAGCGCATGCAACGGAATACGGGAATGCTAACAGAAGGAAGGGCAGACTTATTAACATCTGACAAAAAGTGAGCCTGATGTGTGATTTAATAGAGCTGATGGACCTGCGGCAACAGATCTCAAAGCTGTCAAAGCTAAGCCTAAGATTTCAAATCCTCTGCGCAGTATTCTATAAGAAATTAAGCAATTTAGGTTCTTTTCAGGTGTTTTTGTTTGTATTTAGTTTTGTTGAAAAGCACCAATTTAACCAATTTAAATATTCTTTAAATCTGAAGATTTTATTAAAAAATGTTTTGGTCTGCTAATATCTGCGAAAAGCTGATTTTTTTTTTACGATTTCATGTTTTATATGCAAATAAATGAATGAACAAATTTAAAGCCACCTGCTAAACTTTTGATATTAAAGCTTAGGCAGTGCAAACCAGATTGCTGATTAATTGTACTTAAATCAAGCAGGTGCTTCTCATGCTACCAGCAGGTGGAGCCAGAAAAAAAAGAATTGATTTTCTTGTGATGGTGTGCAGTGTGAGGCCACATGGTGGCTCTCTGCTCTACAACTGCAGGTCCCCAGGGACTGAAAGCAGGTAGATGACTTCAGCAGGAGGCAGAAAATGTGTTCTCTTATTTAAAACAGCTCGCAGTCTGTGTGTGTGTGTGTGTGTGCACGTGCAAGCGTGTTCTTTCCCCTTTTACTTTTAATTTGACAGATTTCCTAAAGTAAGTCCCTAAATCCTTCAAATGTAAAAACCACGATGCTTCCACACGCTGCTCTCTAATCAGTGGAGCCATCTGGACAATGATTGTGTTGCTGTTCAGACCTCGGAGCCATTTAATTTTATGATTCCCCTCGTGGTTGTTTCCTCATGCAGCTATTTGGCCTGACTTGTTGCCCAGAATATGTGTGCCTGTGTCAGTGAGTCAGTGTGCGTTTTGAGGCGTTTCAGCCACCTTTCAGAGCCCAGCTTGCTGTAAATGCAGGCAGTGTGTGACTTGGCAGCTTCCTCTGCTTTACAGCCTCTAACCTTTACTCTTCTCCTTCTCCTCTTAGCTCTTAGTATCTCTTTTCAGCTCTGTAGTACTCATATCCATCCTTTCCTTTGCCTGTTTTTCCTGTCTTCCTTTGAACTCTCCTCTCTCCCATATCTGTCAGTTACGACCACTCTTTATTTGGCATCTTTCTCTCTTACACATTCTCCTCCTTTTTTCTTCTTCTCTATATTGTATCTTTCAGTGTTGCCCACCTCTCAGATATCCTGCCCCCCTAGCCCCTCTTTCCCCTTCTCTTCCTAAAGTCTGTGTGAAGCCTTTTGTTTCCCAGTGCTCCCAGGGTTGTTGTGCTGGGCTGAATGTCAGCTCTCCGGATTAGAGGACTGAAGAGAGCGGAGCAGCAGCCAAAACCCTGGAACCCACTCAATCTCTCTTTCTCTCTCGCTTGCTTTAATTGACACTGTTAAGGGGCCAGGAACTGGAAACATGTCACTTGGAATCATTCAAAGAGAAAGTACAGCGTATGGGAGAGTGAGGGCGGATGAAAAGGGGGCAGAAAGAAGAGAGTGGTGGGAGAGAGCAGAAAAGAGAAATCCACAGCAATGTCTGTCAGTCTCCTAACAAGATTCTTTAAAGTTTAACTCTAGTTTATGGAACTGCTATTGTGTACTCTCTTCCCAAGGCTTTATTTGTAGAACTTGAACATGTGATTATAGCTCAGAACAGTAGTTTCCAATGGCTTTGGCTACTGATGCCTTCAAACCAACCAAGCGGTGCTCGTAGCCCCTTATGACTGGTTACATACATGCAGGCCTGAAAGAGGATACATGTCTTGAAAAGTCAATAAGCAGCAGTTTGCTTTTTATCAGTTTGTCAGTTTATTCTATTACAATTTTCATGAAGTATTTACACCGTCTGCATTGTCTTCCTTTATTGTTCCTCAATATTTCTGTGGATTGAAATCACTTGTGTAGCATTTAACATTGATCAAAGCCACTCCAAAAAGGAAAGCACTTGGATTTCTTGTATGTCTATTAGAGATTATTTTTTATTGTTTTGAAATGGCAGAAAGTGAAGCCATTGATTCTTTTCTTCCCCCTCTTTTCCAAACTTGAAAGACTTTCTGACCACTTTCCAGTGTGTACCTGCTGTGTTTACACCTCCCCCTCATTCTCAGCACTCTCTGTACCCTTTGGGGATTAGCTGAAGGTCTCGAAAGTCCCAGGAGGCCTGTAGCACTTGGTTCTGGTTCTCGGTTTGACCTGACAGTACTTTTCTCGAGGGTAAAGCCTCAAGTACGTGGAAAGAAGTGTTATGAAGGGCCTCGGGCCAGCTTGGTCTCACCCCGGCCTGTTGGGATATGCCACTAACAGCAGCCTGACTAAATCAAAACATCTTGTTTACTGTTGTACAGCTTTTGTAGGGTGGCAGCTGGCTTGTAAAAGAATCGAACGCATCCACTGATTCTTAAAGAGCAATTGAGCAATTGTACAAAAGATCTGTGCTAAAATATCTGAACTCAAGTCCTGTGTTTCTGCATTTTTTATTTTTCCTCAAGAACGCAGAGCGGCATGAAGTCAGTGGCTGTGTAGGCCTTGTAAACGTTCTAGACCTGACAGTTGCTGGAATATGAAGACTTTCTCCACATTTCCAATTGCTTAACTCCCTTACCAGATCCTGCAGCGCCTCTCTCCATTTCCCTACTGGTTCTCAACTGTCTGGTTTGTGGCGTGATACATGAGACAGAGTGCAGTAAATCACCAGATAGCATAAGGAAGCTGTGCAGCCTGGATTGATCAGCCTTGTTATTTTCCCGTCTGCTAACAGGGAAAGGATTAACAGGACATGATAGATTCAGAGCGTAAAAATAAGCAACCTGGCTCACCTCTCATCAAAGTAACACTCCTGTTAGCCTGTTATCTTTGGAAAAATGTCATTTTACAGAAAGATTCATATTAATTAAAAGTACGGAGAGCCACTGATTTTTGTGGAAATCATATGTGGATGCTAGTTGTACTTTTTTTGTTTAAATAACAGATGTTTTTTACACCAAGTAATGAGCAAAATGCTGTATTTAGATGTCTATCTCTCAAATGTCAGCGGGTTTAACACATTTCTGTTTCTCAGCTTTAGCGTGTCAAGAGACGTGTTTGAGAAAGCATTATGGTCATTAGTTATGGTTCATTCACTTGTGTGTGTGTGTGTGTGTGTGTGTGTGGGTGTGTGTGGGTGTGTGTGAGGCACTCTGAGCATGCCAGCAAGTGAGAGATTCTTACAACTCAACAAGCACACAGTTTTTTTTTGTTTTTGCTTTGCTGCATATTTGTGTTAGAAAGGTTTGATCTACTTTCCATGTTGCAACACGCATGTTTTTCTGTACATAAACA